AAGGTTATGAAGAAACATGTTAAAATTACCAGAGGGGGATCTGTAACAGTTTAGACAAATAAATGTATGATTGAGTTTATCACCAAATGTTACACAACAGAACTCCGAGTTTTTGACAGAACAGTAGTCTGTTACGTCGATTCTATTAAAGTTAATGCTATTGTTGATCCAAATTCCCACGCCACCACCTTTTGAAGTGGGAGATCGTGTGTAGCTAGTGGCTAATACAAAATCTTCGAAGTGAACTAAATTTATAGTTTCGGGAGTTTTCCACAGCTCTGTTAAACAAATTATATCGATACTTTTATACAGATTAATTTCTAGCTGAATTTCAGATATTTTATGTTCGTGTAAACTCTGAGTATTTAGTAGGAATAGGTTTGGGCAAAAGGGTACATTTACAGAGTTGATTTCTGGTACGTCAAGCATATGAACCTGACTTAGATAAATATGATTTGGCCAGATAGCTGGGTCCATTGCTTTTCTAAAATTGTGTTTATAAATATGGATTTTACAATGTTGTATAGGCTTGGAGACCAGACTATTTGGATATAGAAATGTAGCTTCAGGAAAATAGGATTGAGCCACCTTGATCAACTCAGTAATGTCTATATTTTGATTAATATGGTGTAAAGAAATTTCTATAAGCGTTTGCATTCTACATCTAAGTGGGGGTTTCACAATTTCGTTATTGGGATGATTAATCGGTTCGAGTTGAAAAAAAGATCGATTGTTAATAAGATGACTTTTTTTCAACTCGCTTTATAAAAAATTAGTAATTAAGGGATAAATAAGATTATTTTCATTGATAGAAGAGGATTGATATGTTTCCAAAACAGGATTATAATTATTATAATTAGAGTTGTTCATAAGTTCTAGAATATGACTGCTGACCTTTTTCAAGAGTTTATTTTTACCTCTTTACCATCACATGGAGTACATAGCATCTTGCTGAATATTGGTCAGGGTTACTTGACTATTTCTCACTTTGTTTGAATTATAAACATAAATATAAGCGAAGCGAAATATTGCACGTCTGCATACGTGAATTGATCATATACTCTACAAATCTACAGCTTCGCAGCTCCTGAAACCTGGCAATGCTTCGCCACTCTGAGAAGTCCTACTTGATTAACCGAGATGGGGCCAGGGACGTGCGCATTCTTCCAAACGGACGTCTGATAGCGACTTCTCCCTACCGAACTAAGCGGTACGCGCACCGTCGGTGGAAACTATGGTATCAGCTACCTAAAGAGAAGAAAAGACACCACCTAAAAAATGCGAGCCAAGTCGATACTCTGAACAAGTGAAGTACCTATTATGATACCAGCCTTCTATAGTTTTGTCACGAAGATTTTTGCAAAAGATATATCTTCTCGCTGAGGAGTATGGTACCCAGCGTGAACAGTAAAGAAGAGCGTTTTTGTAAAACCCGCTGGTTCACATCCGGGTTCGGATATAGATATTTGTAAATGTCCAGTGGGTTGGGTTGGTAGAACCAGCCTTGCCTGACACCCCCCTGCTTAAAAATAAAGGTCAAAAATAAATCTCTATATATAAAAATGAACCCCTGTTTTTTCTGGTCACGCAATAACTTTAGAACGACTTTGCATCTTTTTTTTTAAGTTTTCTAACACTGTGTAGGAGGTTCTTACGGCAAAATTGGAGAAAACTTAACGACTATTTAAACATCGCGCGTTTGACGGTGCGGCGGCAATTGTTTTATCAGCTACATCGATCGGCATATATCCGTCAAAAAATTAATTTGTGTGCTGTCAATTCGATCGGAAAGTTTATCCAGATTTCAGTGAGTTTTTTGATAAATGTGGATGTTATTTCATCGCAATCACGCCTTTTATATTAAAAGTTTGATATACCTAATATCCATTTTTGGTAGGTAAGTGTTGTGATAGACTAAACACGTGGTATACATAGTTATACAGAAACACTAGGGAGTTCATTTCTATTTTCAGTTGAATTTTAGTTTTTTGTAGATGCTACTAAGTAGACGTACCAACATGGTACAAACTTAGGTCGCAGAATTCGTAATCCTACAAGTCAAACATACCGGATGGTGCACGGTAAGTAGGAACATAGGGATTTAACATGGGAAATTAGTTTTATGCAATATTCTGCCCTACTGTACATTTTACAGAAAAAACTGTAGAGTTTAAAGTTGTTCAAAATTAAAAGGTGCATAAAAAACTGGTTTGACATGCTTTATTAAGTTTTTGATATACCCGCAAATTTAAAAATAAATTTCAACATTTCTGTTATTAATGGCAATTCATAAAACAAAAGTCATGGCTATTGCTACTAATAACAAAAGCTTAATAATAAAACATGTAAAAACAGTTTTGTATGCATCTTTTAATTCTGAACAACTTTAAACTCTACAGTTTTTTCTGTAAAATGTACAGGAGGGCAGGATATTGCATAAAACTAATTTCCCATGTTAAATCCCTATGTTCCTACTTACCGTGCACCACCCGGTATATACAAGTAAGTCCAACTGACTAGCAGAAATGTCCCTTTAATCCCTGTCGAGCTGCATTTAATTACAACGTAATCTATTACAGTTTACAGTAAATCGTTGCTATTAGTCGTCTATTAGACCAATGAATTTTGTGTGTCCAATGGCAAGGCTTTTAAGTTTAAAACTGAAGTCCCGGGTTTATGTTGCGCCAGTGGCCAAGCGACATTGACGCCATTGGTATCGCCACCAGAAATACAATTGCTTTCAAATTACGGCATTTGGCGCAGCAAAAAAAAGGTACGTTGCTAGCCCTGAATCGCCAAAAGCAACGTAGAAGTGAGTGCGTTTATTTTTTATTATTCTGAGGAGAGATGGGGAGATTTTGGGGCAAGTGTGTCAAAATCTATTTTCCGGCTAAACGGTTGAACCGATTGGAACCAAATTTGGTACATATATTCTTAGACATAAAAGGGCAGAATCGCGCAGGTGGGGCGGGTGGTACCTGCGCTAGGCACAGCAAATTTCTTGAAATAATTTTTTGTTATTGTTTATTCCAGTTCAAATTGATTAGGTATACATAGCTAGGAAAGAGGACAACGTCCGTCGGATCAGCTAGTAAATAAATAAAAATAAATGCATCCAGGCGTGGAAATTCACAACAGCAATGACGTGACATCACTTCCTGTGATAGCGTAAAAGGACAGGATATTCGTTACTACTTCTTTTGGCCAGTTCCTCTGCACATCATTATCGATAGGAACAAATACATATCTTTCTTGAAGTACCGGTCAGCAACCAAACTTAGTTTTTACCAGTAGGTATTTTCTCGAAATGATGAAGCAGCAACAGAAATACATCTGTATCTGTAGCGTTATCCTAGTATTCGCTTCCTTGTGAAAAGCTTATAAGGAGGAAATCTGACCGTTACAGAAAACTTTTCTTTCATCACTGAAGCCTCCAGCAATCACCAGTACGCCGTCAAATGAGGCGTCTTCAAGGTGATGCGACCAATAACTCGTTTCTTTTGTTTTCCTCTCATTAGAGGAAATTCTTCCATATGTGAGGTAATGGAATATCGCGGATATCTAACACACGACGCACAGGAACCAAAATGCTTGCCAAAACAGAAATAATTTAATAATTACACGATGTGAACAAATTTAAACAGTAGCCATACAGCAGGTACTATGAAAAAAAGGTTTCCACTTTTACGCACTTTGACGTTAGAAAAACTATGGAATCATCGTTTAAACATTTGTTCACTATTATTATCGTGCCGTACCTCCGTCAGGAATAACATTACAATCCGTTTTTAACTCGAAAAAATCGGTCGCATGAGTGAAAAATCATTTTCGGAAATTGCCCGCCATCTTGAATTCTGAACTTCCTGTTCAGATTTCGAGATGCCAACATCGATATTCGTGTTCAGCAGGTCCAAATTAGTAAAAAACGCCTATTTGGCCAAATGTTGTCTAAAATGCCCCTAGAACCTGTTAAAACGCTGCTTTTTATAAAAGTGAACCAGTGTGGACGTAAGTGAGTTGAGGTGAATCAAAACATTGCTTGAAGGAGGGGACTCACCGAATCGGTTGAAAAGCGACCACCGCTATTACTGGCCTTATAAACGATATTTTAAAAAGTTACATTTTGCAAAACACTGTTTAAGCGAATGGCTGACGATTATGTGTGCGTTCTTGCCGTATATGCAATGTAAAATGTGCGGAGAAAAATCCTTATATTTTCTTTACCATTAGAGCTAACGACAAACAAACCGCACCGTTGTAAAGATAATTAAAAATAGAAACTTTTTGAACAATCCCATTTTTTTGGGGCCGTTTGGACATCGGTATCAACAGACGAATTTAGGGGGTTAATTAGTAGGCCAAACTCTACAGAAACACATCATTAGATGCTTTTTACCTTTAAAAGCTGGACGGAGGAACGAATTCGGCTATCAAAAACTCTACTATTATATAACAACGGACCTCTTCCTCTTCTTTACACAGGTTTTTTATTTCAATTTTTCGGTTGAAAACAAGTAGCTGCAGTTTGAAATTTTCTTCAGTAAAGTGAACTCCCCTTTGAAGTGTTCTCATTTAGGTTGTCTTCGATCTGTCTTTTGAGGGAGGAGTTATACTGTTTAAGTGTTGAAATGTAATCTGTAATTCATTGATAACAGCAATGTGATCCATGACTGCCGTAGATAATTAACGGAATTTTTTTAAATAAACTTCTTTTGCACAATAAATATAAGAAATGAAAATACGTGAATATATTAACTCAATAAACAACTTTATGTGTAGATATGTAGACGTATGCAGTGGAATTTCCACAAAATTGAAACTTACATATCGCTTTAAATTGCGGACCAACGTAAAATTTGACTTTTTGGTCGCTCTACACAGTAAAACGCTACTGGTTTTCTACACATTTAGATATAGTGTCTCTATATGCACAACATCAAGTCAAATCAATTAAAAAAACGATACTATCATGTTAGTTTTGCCACAAAATAAAACACCCATTTAAGTCAAGTTTTATTTTGAATAAAAACTTAATATTACATTTTTTGTATTACAACTAGCTATATACAAATAAAAAGTACGTAAAAAACAGCATATTAACAAGTTAACGATGACTTCAGCCACTGAGAAAAAAGGAGTGTTAGTTATTTCAAGACGCTGTAGATCCCTTACCTCGGCTAAACCAAGTTTAACGGTACCATTTTGCAAGGGGTCCTTCGCTTCAAAGGCATCTTAAAACATCAACTTACATTAACACGAAAACCGCATTATACTTACTGAATGAAATAGTCAAACGTAGTATGGCAGAAACGAAATCTCCGAATCGGAGAGTTCCGTCTTTGCGCATATATCTCAGAATGAGTACGGCTAAAACGTCGCTGCTTAACTGAAATCCCACGTCAATTATTGCGTCTCGTAATCTTTCCGCCTTCAATATTCCAGTTTTTTCTTTGGTGTGGTTTTTGAAAGCGGTTTGCCAGTGTTTTAAACTGCACATTAAGTCTTTGAAGTCGGCAAATTTTAATCTTCCGGTACCTGAGAGCTACAAGCAACGCGCCCATCTCAAATTCAAAATTGGTTTTGGCAGAATTTTGTATCTCATTAGGAGAAAGACGAATATTACATTGACATAATGTAATAGTCTACTTTCCTCTAAACAGACACACATACTTACGTCAAATGTGAGGACTACTTGCCGGCAAACTTCCGTAGAGGCGCAACTCTTAATGTAATCATTTGGAAGACACGCATCCAACAGCTCCTGTAGCTCGAAAGCATTCACAGTCCGATGTTCATCTGCCAGTTGCAAGAAGACGGATTCATATTGACTAAAGCTTTTAACGTCAAGCAGCGCGGGCGCCTTAACAATCGCAGGCTTAATCAAAGACGGTGTTACATCTAAGAGCTTTAGTTTCAAGGGTTTACTCGAGTAAATCCTCAACGTGAACCCCGACTCTTGACTAGGTTCGAAAGTTGTCGGTAAAATTAAGTAGCTTCCCTGCTCTAATTGGCACCTATGGCTAACTTGCCGGCTATTCGTATATTGCGAATTGACTAGTGACTTGTTTTTCTTAAAGAACGCCCTTCCCAGGATTTCCGTTGTGTCATTTGGTAGAGTGTATGCGGTGAAACCGATCACTTTCGGTTCCATTATGCTGTGTTGGTTCAAAGAAACAATCACCTCCTCCATTTCACTAAGCGTTAAATGGAGTTGTGGATTAATGTGAAACGTTTCCGGGTTGTTTCTACAACCGCCCGCAGTAACGCCTTTTAACCAGCTTCCCTGATACAAACGCATCTGCCACATGCATTTGCTATGCAAACTCGGTTCGTCTCGACTAGTGTCACTGTCTAAGTGTACTACTTCTAAATGAGTGAAGGTTTTAATGAAGTCAGAGTATGGCATCCAAAATTCTCCATCGAGCGTCTGCTGTCTTAGCCGTTCTTGTTCAGGGGGAAGTATTTCCGACCATTCTTGTGAATCGGACCACCAAAAACCCATGTAGTCAGTCAGCTGACTTAAGGGGTTTTTTAATTTCACTAACTGTACAACTTCGCCGCTGAATTTTTCCACCTGAAACCGTGCATTAATCGAATGGTAGGTAGATGATTTTAATTTCACCTGATCAACCGCGTAGAGTCTGTAGTTAGTGCCAATCTGTACACCATTTGAGGTTTTCTCCATTTGCGATCGTCCTTGTGTATTGGGTGCTTGTAAAGAACAAGTGATGATCGTCGTCATTTCCAGGAACTTGTGAAGTAACCGAGTGCACATAATGTTGTCCTGTTTTAAGCTTACGCTCTCGGTTATTCCGCCAGTTAGGTCTGCCAATCCATCGAGTAATGTACCATATTTTAACGCTTCGTAGGAGCCATGCAGTCTAAGGTGAATAAATGTAATAGTATTTTACATTATTAGCCAGGTAAGTGAGTTTTTCCTGGCGATAGGAGCGCCTGGAGCCAGTAAAAACTAGTACTTGGCGTAATGTACAATATTTTATTTGTTACTCATTTATAAACAATAGTAAACGTAAATAATTAGTTCATGTTATCCATGTAACAGAGACTTCGTATTAATTCTGGCCAATGAAATTACTAGATTACTAACTTGTAAAATGTTGACAAGTCAGCTGTCAGTTTTACAAGTCAGTAGCGTTTAAACATGACGTTTACCCGTTTGCGTTTTGTCTTGTTAATCAACGTTTACAACTGAGTAACAAATAAACGCTTTAATTTCAAATACGACATACTTTGCATATGCCTTTTCTAAAAGTCCCGGCCAGAAATGGTCCGCATGCTGTGCCTGAAGGAATGCCAACCGTCCATTCACGGTTGGTAGGCGGTCATCGACCAAAACCTCGGTCCATTCGCCGCACCACCAAATTCTAAAGCGAAAAATGCCAGCGTATTGTTCGTTACTAAACGATTGATCTGCTGGTACCACTCTATAAAATAGTCCTTTGCTGAGGAATATTACTCCAAGACAGGACACCAGCCACCGATCTCCTAAAAAAACAATTTTAAGCCATGTATCTCCGGCTTCAACATTGCAAACACCCCTCCAAAATGATTACCAAGTTTTTGATTGGAGGTAGTTCAGTAAATCCTCTGCTGTTGGCCCGCTCTAAGGCTATACGAGCCATCTTGATCTTGGTTGAATTAAATCTTTTTGACACTTACCCATTTTACCAGGGATGATATCGAACTGTCCTGCTCCATCTTGTACAAATTCTGGTCTACTGCATAAATCCTACAGGGGTGCAAAATAAATATATTAATACACAGTAAATACAAATTACTGACAACCGTTAATCCGAACAATTAAATGCAAGACGTGTGTACGAATTAGTGTGTACGGATTACTGACTGACACGTATATGTTTAAATAATTTATTTATTCAAAAACAACTCTGTATAACCATTTTTTCTCATGAATGAAACATTTAAACAAACAAATGTGTATATGCTAGTACGTACATATGTACAGTGTGGTCCAATTTCGATGGGATCAAATGGGTATCTTTCAAATAAACAAAAACGGTTTAAGTACTCGTGACCTCTTTGACATTCCATTACCGTTGCCAGAAATAAACTTCCGTCTTTTGTTTTCTCACTAGAGAGAAAAACTGAAAAATGGTTGATTCCTTCAATTTGCTGTAACTTCTTTCTTTTTGAAGCTAGAACAAAATTGCTTTATTCGGGCACTTTTTAACGTAAAAATCAATGCTGTCAGTCGTTTCTAGACCTTTTAGTAACTGCGCTGCAACTCAAAGTTGATTTTTTAATGGAAAAACTAGTTGACAATCTTTTGATATTTACTTTCAGACAAGATGTATTAATACAAAACGTATTAAAAGACGGCAGCTTATTTCTGGCAACGGTAATGGGATAAGCATGAAAAAAGAGGTCACGAGTACTTAAACCGTTGTCGTTTATCTGCCCATTTAATTCAATCGAAATTGGACCACACTGTACACGTCCGGATTACTGGATGCCCGGATTAGCACTTTGGCACATACAGACATTTGTCTATTTAAAATACTGCAGGATTTTTTTTAGACACAACTGTCCATTAATGGGAAATAAAACGATCGAATGCCTCGACCACTCCAATATTATTGAAAATTATTTAAATAAATAATCATTAAACCTTTGGTCGTTTCCATGTGAACTGAAAGGGTGGCGTTTGATGATAAAATACCGATGACTGTGTTGCCGGGAAATCTGGATCTTCCCACAATTCTCCGCGTTTGACACATGATCTCCTAATGCGTTCGTAATCGCTCATCACCTGCAATGAAAATAAATTCGTACACAAATAGTCACCAAGTTATTTGCTATCATAATATAACATATAATACCAATAATAATAATAATAATACAAGTCGAAAAATGCGATTATAGGGCTTTTGATGATTAAAGCAAACCACTTTGCACAATTATACAGTGTGGCAAGCTAACGGCGGGACATAAGGAAATAACATGGGAAAATACGTTTTCGGCAATCCCTGCTCCCCATTTCATCCTACAGGAAAAATAAAAGCATCCTCGGATAGATAATTAAAATGTCCATCGGATGACATAAAAATACGCAACTGTAAGGTCTCATGCAAGCCTAAAAATTAAATTAAAAATCCTAAAAATTGGTAAAAACTGGCCATGGAGTGACGTGTCGTACTTGCTAAGTACCTTCTTCGTTCGTTTGACAATCATCTCACTTCAACCACGAAAGGGTGAAATAATTACACTATAAAAGATTGACCTGTCATCAAACTTAACTGATCACGAACCCAATGATTTCAAGTAATTTGTTTCAAACAAAGTAGTTTATGAGTAGGTATAATTAAATATTCTGATCTCGTTCTGATGTAGACGGCGGAGGCAATGAGAGGAATGGAAGCGGGCGGATGGTACCTTTTTGCATACTTTTTTAAGTCAAAAATGTTTGAAATGAAATCATTCTCAAAGGCGTTTTTTGCCGATAATAAAAATCAATTTTGAGGTTCTGTGTTTCTGGTTAGAGTGGCGAGAGAACAAAGCTTTATAAAAAATGCACCTTTAGGGGTGAATAACTCTCCCGTGCTAGAGGGGGCGGATGGCTCCCCTTCTAAAAATGTTTGTTTTGGTCCAATATACAGCGTGGCAAGTTGACGGCGGAACATAGGGAAATAACATGGGGAAAATACATTTTCGGCAATTCCTGCTCCCCATTTTAACCTAAAGAAAAAATAAAAACACCCTCGGATAGATAAAAAGCGCGCCTAAGACCTTTTTTAAAAGTATAAAAGTTAAATAAATAAATCTAAAAAGGTAGTAAAAAATTGGTTGGCCATGATTTACCTACCGCATTTGTCACCTAAATCTTTGATTTAACTGTCATCTAACGGGCGATCAAAATTGAGTTGCTGTCGAGTCGCCCTTGGAAGTTCAAGTTAAATACGATTTCACATGTAAACAAAAGTTCCAAAGGTGACTCGACAGCAACTCATTTTTGATCGCACAGTAGGCGGGGGACACGTTGTAACTTTTGTACTTTTGACGTATCTCATACAATGGCTCACATTGTCAGAGATAATAAATAAATATTGAAATATTGAAATAAAGCTTGAAAACGCCATTTCAACTTCATTTTCTGCATAGATACCCTGCCAGTCTTCTCTTTGTATTATAGTGTTTAAAATATTGGATGCTAACGGCCCGGGACTAATACCGTTATTAATTGGCGCTGGTAGAATTATTCTCAAATTTTACAATTTTTTTGACAGTGAAAATTTTGGAACTTCCATTTTCCAAAGTTCGTAACGACACAAATGCAACTTTACAGTTTACTGAAATGATTATCTTTTTGACTTTCAATCAATCAATCAATTTTTGTTATATATAGTTGCAATTTACAAGGATTAAATTAAAAAGTAAATACATTTATTTGCAGATGTTTACGAATTCGTCGATTTTATAGATTGCATTTTGAACTAATAACTTTTTTAATTTTAACCTGAATTCCCTGAAAGTCTTTATATTTTTCATGGTGGTGGGGAGACTTATGCTGATTTTTATATATGTACAGTAAAACGTCCAGTACGAAAATTTCTGTTTTCTGGCAAAATGCACTGTTATTCGGCACCAAAATATACCACGGGCGCATTAAATTGTTGACGCCTAGAGTGATAAGTATTCTATCCCCATATTTCCTTTCAAACTCGGTCTTGGTGGTTCACCATGGGGTTTGGTGGCTGATACGACACTCGGTATCTCATGTTTTGTGAAGTAAGTACCTCCAAGTAGGCAGAAATCTCCATTGCCTTTGTGACATGGAGCCAGAAAGTTACCCGTGTAATCCCACGCGATCTGGGACACACTTTATACTTTTACCTGAAACCGTCAAGAAAATCTAAATTTCAGGGCTATTTTGACATTAGAAAGTTGATCTTTACCTGACTAGTACTGTAATATTTTTGCCTGACGCCCATTACAGTCCTAGTACATGCAAAATAACAATTAGATCATTCATTGAATAAGTTATTCAATCAACCATTGGATAATTATAATGCAGACTATGTGGATATTTTTAAATATTAATATACCTACACAAAGGATAATGGTTTTTTATTACGAACAATTAATGGAATATGTGTGGAAGTAATATTCCTTTAGTTTTGCGCCAGTCATTAAAAGGTTTCTACGCCTTTTCGTACCTTTTTTTTGACTTTGTGGGGAGCGAATATTTCACTACAGCGGCCGCAGCTTCGGCTACATTATAACGTCTTGCATAGGTACTCTTCTTCACTGATACCTGCTTTTGTACGTAGTTATAAAGACTGTATAGTTGAAAAGTACAAAGTATAAATTGAAAACTGCGTTAAAATGACACCGACTGTTTTAATTATTTTGAAATCTCTATGGAAACAATTAAATAAAGTGATTTTAGCATGCGTGATTAGGTATCAAAATTTCACACATGAATAATTTAATTTGGAAAAGTTTTCTACATGTGGCGGTTACAGGTAAAATTTTATACATAATATGTCATGAAAGTGAGTCTACCTGACTTGGAGGCATTAAAGAGATACTCGGACGCTACGCGTCCTCGTGCTTTTAATAAGCCTCCTCGTCATGTAAACGACCACTTTCATGACTTATTATGTAAATAACTATTACCATCCATTAAATTGTTTTCGTGTTGAAGTTGTTAGTTCTTTGCTTTTAAGCCTTAACTCAATTCACCCCTTCTCTCCGGTTCGCCACCTAAACGTTAGGACTTTTAATCTGTTCACAACCTAAGCACGAGTTTCTGAAGGAGTTACTGCTCACGCACTCTAAACCCCACCATGACTGGACAATGCGTAATTTACAAAATGTGCAGTTTCGAAATATGGGCTTTCCTTTATAAATTGGTAGCGCATTAAAAATTAATAACTTTATGGTAAATTCCATGAGTAAGTCATCATCAGCAAATCTGAACGTAACTATGAGTTGTCATCCATATATTAACGAAGTACTTAAAACTCCTATTCGCATTCACTTTCTGATTGCCATATTGAATTTTTACTTGATAGGAAAAAGCCAAGGAAAAAACCGTAAATAATAATAATAATAATATAATAATAATAATAAATTGTCTTTAATGCTCTTGGCTAATATATAATAATGTTACCTATAAACTATCACTTATAAATAACAGAGCTGGGCGAGGTTCAGTCGACGATAGATATCGCGTCCTGCTCTTCCACCTAACCCTGAAAATCGATGTTTGGTGTGTTATGTTATTTTATTCGCTTGAATGTCATTCACCTAACCTGATTGATTAATCAGGATAATTTGGATAATTCGATAATTTGACTCTCATCTTCGGTAAATGTTATACGACGTTAATTTAATAGGGAACGCTTTACAAAAATAATAATTCAGTAACAATTTTTCGTTGCTATAAACGACTGTATCGCCTAATTAGTCCAGTCAAATTACGGTTTGGGCTGGATGTTGTCACTTCACTCAATGAAACCCAGGGTACCCTATGTAAAAAAATCCGCTGAATCCTTAGAATCAGTCCCCTTGGGCGGAAACTCCCGGAACATGTTATAAGCAAAAATCTCCAAAGTCAAAAGCTGATTTTTTGTGAAAATGTGAACAATTCATTTGATTTGGAGGAATGTTTTTTTTAACGTACCTTTTTCCGAGAGCTTTCCATTCACGTATTATAGAGGTACATTTTTTGTTATATTTCGGAAAATATTTCGTTAACTACGAATATTCTTCAAATTTTGAAAAAAATTTCACAGTTCGTCGATTTGCAAGAATCTGTGACGAAGAAAACTGGAAGGAAATAAGAAACCCAGCACTACGGCTCCAGCTGCTCTCGGTGGTAGGGGTGGTTCGACGATCCTGAAAGAAATACCTATAAATGCTCCGAAAATTTAGGCGCCACTAATTTTTCGATAGTTCCAAGCCGTACAGGAAAAAAATTAGAAACCTGCTCCTGTTGGTCTGGAAATGCAGGGGTAAAACTATAAAAAAAAAAATGATCAAAGTCCTCGTGTGAGATCGAAGGGACTTCAGCGCATTTTTGTGTGGCAGATCAGTGTTTTATTAGCCAATATTGACGCCACCATCAATAAGATCTTGCCGAAAGCTACCACGTTCACTTTGTCGGTACCATTTTCTCACTTACCGTGCACTTGCAATTCGCGTTTGAAGTTTTGACTCCACCATCAGTAAAATCCTTTGGGGGTTACCATATTCCCTTTGTCGACACCCACTTCTGATCACCCGCAACAATTCGGATTTGAAGTTTCGACTCCACCATCAGTAAGATCTCGTCGGGGTTTACCACATTCCCTTTGTCGATACACAGTTCCGACGTCCCGTTCATTCGTAATTCACATTTTGGTAGATTTCGCTAAAATCCCGGCATAAAATCGTATTCAACTTTTGGGTACTTCACATAGCTCGACCTTCTATTAGTGACACGAGAAAGAGAGACCGCGATTCGCGCTGTAAGAAACTTTTGGGCGCCCAAAGTCGACTACCCCTCGAAGCGCGCCGCGCAAAAGGTGGTTTATTTCGCCCCTAGGAAAAAAAACAAAATTCCACCACGCAGGAGTTGTGCGCGTTGACAAGATCTTCCCGACGACACCAATTTGAAAACAATCAGAGAAAAACTGTAGAAGAAGATAGATAAAAACTGAAAAATCTCCAGGTTAGTATAATACGCTCGGGGATGGCGTCCAGATGTCGTCGACTCTAAATCTTGTAGCCCCATCCCTAACGTTCTTAATTACACGGCCCCGATAGTTACATGTACACTCATTGTCTTTTTACAAGCGTTTTTCTACGGGCGCGCATTTACTGCCAGCCAGCCAGCCAGCCAGCCAGCCGACCAGCCAGCCAGCCAGCCAGCCAAAGTGAGATTAAAAGCTACTTTTTACAAAAAAAAAATTTTTGCAAAAATGCGCTAAAAAGAAATAGAGAAAGATAGCGGGAAAGAAAAGGTATTTATTCTTCAAGGAAATCAAGAATTTAACACAGATATTGTAGGGCGAATGATGATGATTGATAATGGCACGGAATGATAACAGGGAAATAACGGCAAAAAAAAAAACGGTACGAGATCTCGTCTCACAGTAAAACAATAAAATTTGACTAAATTACTTATTATGATGTAGGGTGGCTGAATTAATGTGATGGGTTTTTTTTTTAAATAAACAACGGTTTTTTTAAGGTAAATAGGTAACTTGAACTTAGATGTTCTGGCTCCTGAAATTGTCCAGCAGTTGTTCGGCGGACTTGGCGGTGGTAGACCAGTGGCTAAATACAGGGCAGATTAAGGATAGGGATGCGGGTAGAAGGGAACAAGGAAAAAGTAATTTGAGGGTATCGACAGAAGATTGAAGACTGAAGACGACAACTGTAGATTGAAGACGGACGACTGAAGATTGAAGACGGACGACGACGAAGATTTCTTAGTAGTAGATAGGTACGTATAACAAGTATAGACAAGAAATAACTAAAACTACAAGGCCCTAGAACAAAAACCCAACCTCACAAGCACACCATACAATTGACAATTGACCAAAACGGAAACGAAACGTAGAAAATTTAAAAAAAAACGAACAGTAATACCAATAATTAAGGAACATGAAAAGTTAGCGGGAAAGGAAGAATAGATTTTTGAAAAGAGCGGGAAAGAATAGCGTAGTTTAGACGAAATACCAACAGATGGCCCTGAAACGAATCAGAGGCGTAACATGGAATAAAATAGTACACATAAGCTTCGAAAATTAGAATAGTGAACACAAGCCTTGCATTGCACGAAAATTGCCTAATGTAAAGCGGCTTTAAGGAAAGAAGAAATGTTTAAAGCGTGAAAAGGTAAATACAATTGTAAGAAGAGAGCAAGAATCCAAAGAAGCGAAGAAATCAAAAGAAGAAATTTAAGAACACGCCTATGTGATGAAAATCAAAACAAAATAAACAAATTCCTAACCTAAAAATCAAAATAACTAAAGCAAAACTAAACTAAAAATGGACCTGTAACAAATCATCGGGTCAATTTTTGGAAAGGATTGTTTTAGGGTTCTACTAACTGTAAAAAAATTAAGAAGGCTCTGGGAATCATCCAGTTTAAGAGACAAAGTATTGTAACGCCACTTCTATTATTCGAGGGCAGTTGTTCCCTAGGAGCCAAAGTCATGGCAGAAGGCATGGCCGCGTTCCCGCCAACTACGATAGGCGTCCCATATTGTTTTGTTTTTGTTTTAAGAGTTGTTGTCAAATAATTAACAATGCGTCGCCATAAATAATTATGTAAGTGTTTTCTTCAAAATAAATTATTATAACGTCGTTATTTTTAATATCAGCGTTATAGTATCGGTTTTTGAATTTGTTTTTTTAATTATGTAGTAACTATGATGATGTGGTTTGTCATATTGGTTTGTTATCAAAAGCCAAATACGGATTTTCAAAAAGATCGGATGAATTTTACTTGGCAATAATAAATTGTTAGTTTTCGGTATTGTTTTTTTACAATAATTTTCCACAAAAAAAAACAAGAACATTTAAAAATGAACGTTTCAAACCCACTGTATCTTATAAAAAATTCGATTCTAAACAAATTAATTTCTTTTCATTTTTTCCCTCAGAGCAATAGTTCACGAGATAATTAAAGTCAAAAGTGGAAAAAACTACATTTTCCGATTTTTTCTTCGGTTTTTGCTTATAACAATATGTTCCTGGAGTTTCCGGCCAGGGGGACTATGATTTTCGGATTCAGCGGATTTTTTTTACACAGAATACACTTTGTTTCGTTGAATGAAGTGACAACATCCAGCTTAGACTACTTTTGGAGCTAATTTGAATGGACTAAAACTGTAACATCAAGAATAGGATATTAAAAAAACCTAATTTAACCTTTGGCGTACCAAGGGGGTACATACTGTACCCCAAGCGTGAAAAGTTGAAGGTGAAAAGGTGAATTTAAATCGCAATTTGATTTTTGTGATCTTTACGCTACTATTATAACCTCCAATTAGCTTCCCTCTAACAGATTACATTATATTCGACCGTATACAATCCGTGTTTTATTTAATAATAATGATTTATATACGAAGGGGTACACTTTGTACACTTTGTGCACTTTGGTGTTAAACGCTATTGCATGTTGTAAAAGTGGAAGAAAAATCAAACAGACAGAAGGAGATCATTTCTACTTGACTTAGGACTTGAACTGATAAAACCACATGTAAACAGAAGATTGGAAAATCTAAATGGTATACCAAAAAGGGTAATACCTAGAAGCTATGAGGCATGTGGTACCTAAAGAAATGGAACCCAATCCTCCAAAACAAACAAGATCTTTTGGACGTTGTTATTATTGTCCAAGGAAAGAAGATAAGAAGTGCCGTACTTATTGTCCTAAATGCCAAAATTTCTTTTGCAAAAATCATGGACAAAAGCGGCAAATTAATTACTGTAATCAGTGCAATGAGTGTAATTGATATTGTTTCTTTAATACCTAACATGTTTTGAATAAATTTTGTAAAACAAAATGTTGTTTATTTACTGATAATAGATTACTGCAATAAATCCGCAAAAATAAAGTGGGGTGCATTTTGTACCCAGCTTGGGGCGACGCGTTCCTTAAAAAGCTTGGTACGCCAAAGGTTAACCAAGGTTTTCATTTTTCAAACCTGCTTGCATGTATATGCGCATAGAAACCCTTTCGGCACATATAATACGAGAAACAAACAAGATATGCGCAGAATCGGACACAATTTTCAGTAAGGGACTTTTTTGGCACTAGCTCGCATTCGGAATCCGACTCAAATGCAATGACGCTAATCCTTGAACTCATAGAAACTGATTGCCGCTGTCTCTTTTCGTATTCGAGCTACACGAGGCACAGACGGACGGACAGACAGAGGAATTCCATTCGAAAAATTATCCTAAAAAGAGATTCCTGCTATTTCTTATAGCTTTAAATAAACTTGACTTTCAATGGTTGGAATAGTTTTAATTCCCTACCTGATTCCATCAAATATTCTCCAAAAATTAGTACTTTTAAAACAACGTCACTACTAAAAGTTATACTTTGTGAATCATTGGTACTGTCTAATTTATGTGACGTAATTGACGGTGGTTGATTACAAGAACAGAATTCAAAAAATATGTGTAAAAAGTGGATGTTTTTACTGTAAAACATTTTCCGAGGTCTTTTACATTAATTTTTTGTACTAATCGAATCTGTGTAAAATTGGCCCCCCAATTTTATGGTGCATTCTGTAATCGCAACGTCGTTAGAAGTTGCTCCACTTTCTCTTTCATCTCTCTTCTAGAACTAACTATCCATTTCTTGTCGTCATAGGGTTTTGGAAATGCGTTCGTGTAGTGTGCGAATTGTAAAACAGATTCGCGGCGCCCCAACAAAAAATACACATACCTTGAAAGTCGGCGGCGTGTTATCGATTCTTAAATAACCACAAACTTAGCACAGCAGGTGGAAGGTCAACTGGTATGGAATGTGAAATCTAATTAAAAACCAAAAAACTAAACAAAAATTATGCTGATGTTCCGTTATTTTACCTCCTACATTATGCATTATTTACGAGGCCTATTCTTTAAAACAAAAGGAGCGCAGGTTAGTGGTTAAGGTCAATATCTAATGAATGAAAAGAGAAAATAACTACTCGCTGCACATAAAATACAATAAAATTCTTACACTATCGCAACTACCAATATTCCTATTACATTGTTTTGTATGTAAGTGCGACAAATGTGTGAAAAAAGCTCCCGGAAGTATTGGTTGCTCACCATTCGTCCAATTTAACAGTTTGACGGGTTCAGGGCAAAAGTATATGACCCACTAAAACATCTCACTGTCACAATCACTTATTCCTACTTTATGTAACATTTATTTTGAAATTGAAATACATCGACGGGCACACGTGTAAACCCACTTTTTTAGAATAGTGGAAAGGCTGCGTCTGTGACGACAGTTCTTCGGCAACTACCGCTCCGCTCTTTTCAATACGTAAACTATAACCACCTACTTGCTAAGTAATGGATTTGACCCCGTTCATTCTCGCGAAAGTTATCGAATCGTGTTCCTTTTTTAATAATTTAATTAGTAAATAGCAGTGCGGCTTCGTAAGTGTGACTGTTTCGATATGCAAGCACTTGGGTACGTAATGTATCTTAAGAAAGTTGCGGTGCTCCGCGATTGGCGGTAATGGTGAACGCTTCGTTTGGTTGCTTGCTGAAGTTATCCTTTTATGGTAAGAACAAGAAGTACGTAGGTACCCATTTTATAACGCAGGCAACCAATCGCTCTTGACGATTGTGATCCGTCTAGGTAATTTATATTTGTTTAGTTAATTATTTATTATTGTTTTCAGGTTTCTGAAGTATGTCTCGCTCGAGAGCCCTAAAACGTAAAGACTTAAACCCTTATAGCGCATTGAATATGATCAACGTGGGAAAAAGGAAGTTTGGGGACTTTGAAGAGAGCGTACGAGGATATTGAGATTGGCTAGCTTAAGGGACGAATGAAGGGAATGATAGGAACTCTATAGAATTTGAGGAGAGTAACATTTATAGTGGAACAATAAATGCTAATGAAACTGGATGGGATGTGTGACGAAATTGAGAGAAACGTAGGTGAAGTAAAACGTATTAAAATCTAATTAAATGAATTTCCGTTTTTAATGGGGAAAAGGAAAATTAATATGACAATTAATAGACAAATGAACAGGAATTTCATGAAAAACTAGCAGATGCAATGGGTGGCTGTCGAATTCCTAAGAAGCAACAAATATTCTGTTTTTTTTTTGTTTCTTACAATAAAAGCATTAGTTACATGGTGTATGAATAGTAAGGGACGCAGAACAGAACCATGTGGTACACCAGCTATAAGTTTTCACCTTTTGACCACAATTTGGTTTTATTAAACAGATACGATTTTAACCACTTTCTACGAACACTGTAATATTCTAATTTCTCTAATAGTATGGTAATACTAAAAATGATTATATTACTGCAACAACGTTGCGCCAAAAGATTTACAACAATAGTAGACAGTCATTGTCATGCTTATAATTTGAAACCGTTAGTGAGTTGTCGTGTTCACAGATGGACGAACGGACGGAAAGTCCAAAATCACTCGTTTTTGTCGCTCGTTAATAAATTGCTAATAATAATTAAGGTAAGCGTTCACTGAATCGAGGGGACGCGACAAACGCGGCATACTTGCCGGATTTTCTGAAGAGAGTGCGCTCACTAAGTCGTATTAATTAATAGACAGAGAGATAACGACAGATATTGCGTCACCGCACTTTTCTCTTTAAGTAGGTTAGAAGCAGCGTATAAACGTACCTCTGTTGAGCAGTCCGTTCTACGATATTTTTATGTAATTTTTCAAATTTGGACAATAAGTACGACAAAACAGTGCCAGATTTACCAGCAGGCTGAGTATGCTGGGGCCTAGAGCGGCAGTTTTTAGGGGGCGGCAAATTTGGCCCAAAAATTTGGATCTTACAGAAATCCAAAAAAATATTGTACAGGGCGAGTTTGTTTTTCATTTTAACTATGGATATCTTGTAAACCGTAAGTGATACAGTCTCTGATTAATTTTCCCTTTCAAAATCTCTTGTAGCTTGACCAAATAGCGTAGTTATGGCCAAAAAACCGGAAAATGTAACTTCCGAGAACATGCTAGCGTTCATTTATCTTCACTTTCTTATTCCTTATGGGCGCCATATTGGATTTTTACACTGCCTAGATAGAGAAAAAAATTACAAAATCGGAAATGCCAGATACTTGGTATTTCATTCGGAAATTAATCTTGAATATGTTTACATTGAAGTTTACATGTATTTCTTATGGAGACTATGCCAGACAATAAATGAAAAATGTTAAATAATTTTAAGCAAGCCATGAAATTATTGCTAGAAATACATTATAAAGTTTAACGCAAACATTCAAGATTCATTTCCAAACGAAATACTAAGCAATTGGTATCTCCGATTTTGTAATTTTTAGCTTTCTAGCATGACGTAGGTAGCTAGTACGATCACCGTTTGGATCAAAGAACTTTCAAAGAATCAAATTAAACTTTAAAAAAAGTTGCTCATTTAGAGAGTGGAAACAAGGAGGTAAACAGTTATACAATACAGGGCCCCAATAATTATGTGCTGCTTGTGACGTTTTTAATCTTAAATCATTATATATATTTTGATTCTTGTTCCGAGTATTGTAGGAATGAATATTTTTATGAGTTATACAATTCGATTGATTGAGACAAGCTTTTCAAACATTCTTATAAATTGTTTATTATAATCTAATCCACGCATCAATATGTTCAGCTATTTCTACTCTCGCTGCCTTTAGTTGTGGCAAATCCTTCTCAGATTTGGGATACATGTTGGCGCAATGAGCTGTACCTGGGGATTTTTCAGGTTAAATGACTAGCAATGTGTGAACCTTGTCGTACCTTCAATGTAAATAGCAGGTGCCCTTTGTTCTCTTGTCTTAGTGATGCCTAACGCGTGCCAAGGATCGATTGAACCATGAACAAAAACGACATTACTGACGTCTATATCGAGAGCGCCGTAAAATGTGTTCGTCCGCTGTACGTTTGTGTCCACGAATGCGGAATTGTATTTCTCGCCGAAAATATCGACGCACTGTTGAATGTAAAACTCAACGGGAAAATCAGTTCCGAAAATGTACGGTGGCTGAGAAGAGGACTGGAAAAATCCGAACTCTGTGCACGTCTGGTACATCCATTGTCGACCTACGAAACATATGGATATGTGAATATTTAGTGATCAACCTACCTCCTTCCGAAACGTTACTAGACCATGAATTCTGACTTAGCTCTTGGATCATTTTGTCGTACTTGTAATCTAAGCATTTTAGATTATTAGCATTCATTAACAATCTGTTAATCTCTGCCAATTTATCGATGGGAGCCCCCATATCATCATCTTCCATAATATCGCATATGGTATCAATTGTGATATTTGCCACCTTTTGATTGCCTCCAATACGATTGTCCTTATTATACTGTACAATGCCGGCAATATTCTCCGCTAATGTAACGTAAAAGTTTGAAATATCCTTTGGGTTATTAATCGAGTTTTCGATTGGATCACAGAGATTAAACATCGAATCTAATGCCTTATAACCCACTGTATGATTTAGGAAGATTTCGACTTGAGCAGTTGCTTCTTTTACCGTTGATAAGCACTGACTACTGGCGGTTTTCAGAGATTCCTCCACCACATGATAGTATTCTAAAATAGAAGCGTAGAAGACTTGTTAGCCTAGGTACTGATCGTACCTACCTGGAAAATCGGCTTTTGCTAGCAAGGGCCCACTTGCAGACATGGCACCGTGCACTAAATGGGGATATTTTAAACGCATCCAAGCTGCTAGTGATCCCGGGTATGACCCGCCGAAAACGATCCACTTTACATTAGACGAAAATCCATATTCCTCATTTTTTGCTTGAATAAAAGCTGCCAAGTCAGCCAGAGCCTGCTGGCTTGTAAGGTATTGAAGATTCTTCGTACTCATGTCCCTAACAGAGTACAGTGTAACTAAGTTTAGAGAATCTTTCAAGAAGCTTACTCGGTCGGGTGACTTTTCCCGTAATACCTATGTTCTAATTGAAAGCATAACGCTTTAAATCGTTTAGCGTAATCAATCCACGCGCCCTGGTTCATCCATAAAGGGGAGGCGGTACCTTCGCCACCAATCATTAAGAAGATTGGCCCGTTATGTGTAACTTTGTAAAATTGGTCATTTGTAAAGTATCTCTGCAATGATTTATTAGTAAAGGCAAGTATGTAAACCTCTCGCCAGGAAAGATTGCCGGTCATAGAACACTTGATCCCGGTCTACAATCTATGTTTTTCTAAAGATGTGAGCGACTTCCGGGATAGTATCGTCTCAATGTTAAACAAAACGACTTTTCGTTCAACATTGACACGATCCTATTTCGAAAGTCGCTCGCATTTTAAGAAAAACATAGATTGTAAATCGACACAAAGTGTGCTGTGACCGGCAATCTTTCCTGGCGAGAGTTATAGACGATTATACCTGTTTCCAGACTCTCAAATCGGTAGGATTGAAGTGGTCCAAACGTTGTATAAACCATTCGTCTTGAGCTAACTTTTTGGTGGCTTTGTAACCGACATCGTAAGGTGCTCCCAAATTTCCACCTACTTCTCGGCCCCGATGAAATATTTTCCAGCAATCCGCTTGAATTAGGATTAATTGTAGTATACTTATAACGAGTTTCATTTTCACAATGTTTCTTCTGTTGATTGTGCTGGCTGTACTTCTATATCATAAACAAAGTGCATAAGTTCACCAAGCAGATATCAACATGTACCAGATAACCTCTTGGAAAGTTCAATCTGTCGCAGTTGTTTTGATAGGCCATGCGTACTTCAAATTGTCGAAGGCGGGTGTTCCGGTTTCGTGTATGGACATTTGGCAAGTTCACAGGCCGCTTAAAAATACTGGAAAAAAATGGTCCAGAATGATTTACTTTTTAAAGGACTTTAATATGCTTCAAGCACAATTTTCCAAATCTGTTCAAAAATCAGTGATAGACCGAAAGGATCTAGAGAATCTTTAGAGAATAGCCAAATACTGTAAACACAGGTTTGGGAAGGTGAGAACAGGGCAATAAGTAAAATGGCGCCCGTAAGACTCTGACGATGCCAAGAAGAGCAAAGTATCAGGTTGTTATGGCGTCACGTGCAGTATAGGCGAGTGGGGTGCCAAAAAGACTTTGGATCAAATCTGCAAAGCTGGATAGCTCCAAGGCAACGGGGTAGCGCCTGCGGCTGGTTGACTCTGAGGGTGCCAAATGACTCTGTTGGTGTTTAGGTCAAGAATGGAGTGGAAACACCAGTTGCATTAAGCATATAGAAGGGTGGATTTTGATCAGTTCTGATGGCATTAATACGAGGAGAGTTTAGTAATAAGAGTTCCTTTGCCACCTTTTGTGTCATCAGGGTAAACCCAACATTTATTACCTTAGGGCTGATCTCGGCATTTATTGACGGGCGCGATAATCGACAAGATTGAGCCTCATTGGCTGTGTAATTGAAGGGGGATGTTCCAAACTACACAGTTCTTCCGATTCACCCTCTTTTGAGTAAGATGCCTAGTGGAAGCTAAAATACAAATTCACACGTCATTGTTGTAGAACTTCGTCAAGGACTCAAGAGTAGTGGGTTTTAGGTAGTTTATTAATTGAATTGAATTGATTAATTGCCACTCAACCTTACACGATGAAATCAAATATATATACGTACACTTACCACTTAAATTGCGATGAATAAGTCCCTAATTGAAAATATTTAAAAAACAGTACAGGGAAGAACTTCAAAACTAGCAATTGAGTTTTTTAAATAAAACTAGACCCCCCTCGGAAAGAAAATCAATATCTCGAAACAACAATTTCCCGCACAGCCAAAATGCAAAATGGGTTGTCTATCTTCCAGCTAGGAATATCGCATGGATGAGCCGGTAAAGCTACCTTGCGCCCTTTTCATATCTAATATGGGCAGGCAGGTGGCCAGTTATTTACAGTTTCGATCCTTCACTAGCATTTCTAAAGAAGTCAAACTTGAGACATTATACGTTATATGAACTGTTGCTTGAATTGTGCACTTGGACCAGTTTCCTCGTCCAATTGCGACTTTAATCTTCTAAGAGCAAAATAAGTTGAGTCCATCCTGTGTCCTTGATACGTCTCACGCATACAAGAGAATAATTAATCTGATGGCCTAAGGCTAAGACGCCTGTTTTGAGTTTCTGGCGCTTGATTATGACGAAACTTTTGAGCTTCGGTTGCGGTTCTTATCGTTTCTTCATCTTTTCGTCCCAGAGATTTCCGTACATCCTAGGGTAGATGGCATCGATAAAGTGCAGATCGTAGAAAATGCACGAAAAGTCCTCGGCGTCCTGAGCAGTGGTAAAAATTTGATGATCCAATCTGGTAGGCCTGACGTAACGTAACGTCGCGTAGGGCAACCCGCACAGCATTACCGAAATTAGGCAACTTAAATAGCATGTATTAAAATTTTCTGGCCCCTCTTTAACTAACATTTGTTACGGCACTGAACACAAGCAACATTTTATTTCTAAACTCTAACGCGAATGTTGAGATCTGGTGTATTCTATTAACTTTACAATAAATAATTGAGTTAACATTTTGATATTTAAATCTGAAAACTATTACATAACAATGCTATTAATAATTAATTCGTAATTTCAAATTTCCCCGACTCCTGACGTCACACAATGTTGGAAACTATTTAGTTATAAAAATAAAAGTTACTAAACTCTTTTGACTGAACGTATTCTTCGGAAGGATTAGCTCTCCATCTTCGTAATTCCCATTGCGTTAATTATTCGTAGACGAGGTGAGTTATCTTCTCATTAAAAACGTCGTTTATTTACTCCACGCTTATATCGATATTGCACATTCTATCTCATTAGGCAAGTACGCCTTCACCAGCTAATCTAACCTACAATTACAGCATGGCACCACGTTACGAACTGGCGGTGGGCCTTCATAAAGGCCACAAGACCACCAAAATAAAGTCGGGAAAGACAAAGGGCGAAAAAATAAGACCTGCAAGGTTGAAGGGGATCCAGACAAAACATACCAAGTTTATCAGGGATTTGGTACGCGAAGTGCTCGGTTACGCTCCATACGAAAAGCGCGCCATGGAATTGTTGAAGGTGTCGAAGGATAAAAGGGCGCTCAAGTTTCTCAAACGTCGTTTGGGCACACACATCCGTGCCAAGAGGAAGCGCGAGGAGCTGTCTAACATCTTGACGCAATTACGTAAAGCGCAAGCCCATGCGAAATAAGTTTTCTGTATGCTTATTAATAAACTGTATCTTTATTTTTAGTGGTTTCATTTATTTCATTACTATGTTATTGACGATTGTTGGAGATTAGTCACATTCTTGCCAAACCGATGTGAATTTGATCTTGGACCTTGTAAGTTATTCATGTTACTTTGCGATCAGTGTGAACTAAATTTTCCAAAAATTATTGTTTGTAGTTGAGGACATATCATTCTTAAATGTATTGTGCACTTTTTTGGGAAAGGAATTTATTAGTTACTAACATACAACATAAATTGTTATGACAAGACTGCTGCTCGTTATTCAGTACACAAAGAATTTTTCATGTTTTAAAGTTGGGTTGTTGCCGGAAGTACTATTACCCAAAGCTTGTTTTTAAAACTTCTTGATCTATTTTTCTCTTCAATATAATTGCATTGACATGAATGGATAGTTTTTGTGAATCACTTAAAAATGGTTCAGGAGTATGGGGCCAAGGGCTGTTTTGGCAATTAACATATTCTTGTGAAGTGCTTATATCAATCAATCTCAATGTATCTCCAATACTTTAGCTGTAATCTCACGTTGAATGCGTCAGAACGCGTTTAGGCCCCGTATCGTAGTTATAGGAAGGAGACCGTCTTTTTTATGACTACACCGAAAGCTGTAAAAGCACCAAAAAATGAACAGAATCGTCTTGCGATAAAGCATTCTAGCAATGACATAATGTTTCATGATACGATCTGAGACAATTTTTTTTTCGGGGCTCAAAAAAAGGCAGTGTATAACCTTCCTTTTTTACCAAAAATCGACTACACCAAAATTTCTCGGGAAAATACTTTTTCTTATTAATTTATGGGGCGTAGAATCCAAAACAATTCGTACTTTTTCGATTAGACTTCTCAATCAGAAGTTATAGACTAGAAATCAATTTCGAAAGAAAATTCAAAGGGCTGTAACTTTTTTTTTTTGAAGATGAAAGTTCTATTGAGAGAAAGAGTTTTATGAGAAACCTTTAAACGTGTCTCATACCAAGCTTGAGTGCGACAACTTCGCATATATAAGAAATACTGGAAGAATTTTCAATAAATTTAATGATTTGTAAAAAGTTGTAAAAAAATATCTGCGCGACTGTTTCGAGAGCTCAGGATACTTGATTCCCTATTCGATGTCCGATTATAGCTAAAGTATTGGACATACAACAAAATGTAAATATGCTTTTTTATGGGCAATTTAATAAACTATATTTTTTTTCTTAGCTATTTTTCCGTATCAATAATTGTTGCCGACATTATAGGCAAGAAACTGAACAAGTGCTCCTTTTTTCCAAGATGGTGCCTCGAGCGCAACAGATTTTGAGGGGGACTTTTAGTATGTCCAATGGGGAACACTAATGAACATGTGTACCAAAATTCAGATCTTTACCGATTAATGTTTTTATTTTTTCTTATTTGACTGGACTAGTAATATAATTAATTCTTGTGACTTGTCGAAAAAGTTGAACCTTGGGTGTGAGTGTAAAGTGGTTTTTTTCATGAGTCCGTCTTCACTCTACTGGTATTTACTCTTTTGTTAAAAAGACCTGGGTGCAATTAGGGTACTTATGTGTGATATTACTTTTTTTTGCACTAAATCAGATATCATACCTCATCGACACTGAGTCAAAAAAGGTTTCTTTTTAGCAGAGCTGGCTTTGCAATCCAAACAATCTCCACCTGTAGGCAGTTTATTTGGTGGTATTACGAAGTGTGTGTTTGATGGTCTTAAAAACATGACCGGTTTTGAAGCGTCAGAGGCCGCTCAGGCATTGAAATTAGCTCTAATCCCTACAGGACATTGCGTCAAAACTGATCCAGATGAATTGAATGATCGCGAACTGTTAGAGATACTAACATGCCTTAGGGACAATGTAGCAAGTATAACAAAAACTGACCTTGTCCGAATCGTTTTGGCCCTACCACATGAAGCTGAAGGTACACTTATAGTATACGAGAGATTATCCTTAAAACATGTAACTGCTGGATGTTTTTAATGACACGCACCCTTCTTAGTCAAGTTAGTTCACGGGGGATAATTTCAGTCTTACAGTCACCTCCTCGTGCCATTGCCTGCGGTTCTTAGGATTTAATTAGTTGATGAAACTGTACCTACTAGGTGGTGGGTTATATGTGTATGCTGGCAGTTTGTAACTTTGGGAGTACCAAAATGTTTGTTAACACTTTAGATAATAATAAATAATCTACGTTAGGCTTTTTGTTGATTTTCCCGGGCATTTTAACTCGTTAATCATGCGCTGTTGTTACATAAATTGTGCTGCATATTCGGGCTCCCCTAGTGGCTTGTAGCGATGGAAATAGGACCTTCTTTTTCCCTTACTCTTGCTTATAGTATAGTTATTTCTAGCATCGTTGGCTAATTTAACGCCCTGTGATTAACAGTAGTATGGTAGGATTCAATCGTTTACTTTAAATGGTGTTTTGGAAAAAAAAATTGATACATACTAACTTCATAAGACCAGCAGACACTGTTTACTGGTCGCCCTGTACATGCTGATAGCTGTGACACAGTACTATGGTACGATTCCATCGTCTAGTGTGCGTTACAAGCGCCACATTCATTCTGTCAAAACAATTCCAATCAACTGTATTTTGACAGTGGGTCCAGTTTTCACCTCACAAAATTTATCATTTTGTATTGATGTAAAGTAATTGAGTTTACTTTTGATCGTTTACTATTTAATAATTATGAGTTTACAGTAAATTCAAGTGAGGCACACACTTCTTTCATTTGCAACCAATACCGGACATACCTGCAGTTATTATTTATAGTGAATGGGATGGGAATAACACTTAAACCCTTTCAAAATGTTCCTATGTGCCAGCCTCACAATATTTTCACGTCTTCGTGCATTGAAAACGTTTTTTAATACCTTTCTTCTATGATAACGAAATGTGGTTATTGTGACAGTTCCCATGTTTTTGCAAATCATAGCTAATTCCATTAATCATGGCAGATTTAATTCAACAATTGGAGTCGAATGATACTCGTATTGCGGAGGAGATGAAAGAGAAATTCCACGAGCACTTCAAATCAGGTGAATGTCACTTACGTAAGCGCTTAATACCGATTGTCGTTTTGCAGTACAAGACAACTGGTTGCTTTATAGTATCTACGATTACTATATGGTCACAAACTCGGCTCGGTCAATAGAAATTATGGTTAACGTGAAAGAGCCGCATTACAACTATTTATTTAACAAGTAACGCTATCGCTTATTGATTCGGCCTGTTGTATCACACGAAATTTCAGATTAAGTGACACTATTAAGGGTTCCAAATCCGAACAGAAAGTTCAAGCGCTCACCTTACTAGGCCACATTCTAAGAAAGGAACCATTTTGGTTGTACAAAATAACGGAGCATCATCTTTTGAAAGATTTACTTAAGCTGTTGAAGGTTTTAAGGTTTCTTTGAGGGTAGGGTGTTTCACATCGGTTTAAACTCGACTCAATTTTGGTATATTTTGTTCTGGGCAATTGAGCTGAGCTGTATCCGATGTGGCGCAACTATACCCTGGTAAACTGTTATTAACTTTATTATTGTAGACCGAGTCTGATATCCTTTTACTCTTAAGTGCATTACTGGCTTTGGTTGTCTTACTACCAACAGTTCCGTCTCGTATGGGCCAGTATCTTCAAGAGGTTTTTGAAATTTTTAGGTAGGCCAATCAGTTTTTTCTAAATCACTAACATATAAGTGGTTAAAAGAATTGGACATTTTATAATGTACATTTAATAGGTATTTATTATACAAGATGATAAACGGATGTGTGAATTAACTTTCACGAGATGGATAGCTTCCCTTTATCGTTGTGTATAATATAAAACTTCATTTTAAAGCAGAAGCAGTAAAGAACTAGTAAAGCTTCTGACAATTCTGTTTTTAATTTAGACGTCCAAAATAGCAAGCTTAGGTTATCCCGTCATTTCCATGAAAGCAATTGTATTCTGTTCTGACTTTCATTTTGTATCGTGCTCCGCCTCCCATTTTTAATAAGAATGATGGATTCAATCGAATGCACAGTGATTTGTTTCACTTATCTACCCTTGCGGTTAAAGTGATCATTACTGTTAAAGAGTCTCATTCAAATCTATTAACATGTTAGTATTACATTTGCTATAAAAATACTTCTGATACATTCTCCAAATTTCCATGATAAATTCTTTAAATTTCTCCAAGATTTACTAAACATTTGGAAAATATTTGTAAAGTTTGCTACATATAGTGGCCCGGGCCCCCAAAAATACATGAACACCCAGTGCACTTTGATCGATTTTGACATATAGACATTGCAAAACACAGTTTTTGAATTTTACTACACTTGGGCCCATCGACAAACGTCTGCCATTGGCAACAAATAGCATATAGAAAGCATTGCGATATCTCTGTAATGCTGCCATGTGAATGTGAATTCCACTAAATGGAGTTTTGGAACACTTAATGCTAATGTTGATATGCTTCTATCACCTGCTCGGAGATCTTTCACCAATTGAACAAAGCTGGGGTGTGCTTGGTCAGAGGCAAAATGCTTTACAACCACCTGCAAACAGTTTAGCTGATCTTCAAAGGCGTATTTCAGCAACTTGGGACAGTATATCACAGGGTAGCATAGATTCGTTAATTTGCAGTATACCCAGTCGAGTAGCTGAATGTGGAGGATCTACACATGATTAGTGTTTCAATTATCTTTTCTAATTTCGAAATAAAAACTGCCCTAAAAAAAATTTCATTAAAATTGATTTAAGTACACGGGGTTATTTATGGCGATCATCTACAACATTTTTTCATTATGTTTGCCAATTATTACTATGAAATTGTTTTTTAACTTTTTGCACACTATTATTTTATTAACCTTCAGAAGACGATCGTTAATTAAATTTCGTCCGATAAAAACTCCTTATCGCAAACGATGAGATGTCCCTACATTTTAACACGTCATTTCTAAATAAACAATTTACAAAAGCGATAAAATTTAAACAAGAATTACGCAATTACAAATCTTCTAAAAGGAAAAGACATTGAGACACAAATTCAAATGCAATAAACCAACTTTGTGCTTATTCGTAAATAAGATTTACACTTAATAAATTGAAATATTCACATATACAGCGTGTCCCATCATTATTTTTTGTGTTTATACTAGGGATCAACAGATACCGATATTAATATGGGCGTATCGGCCGCCAATGCGGGATAATCGGAAAACCTGGACTTGTCAGGGATTTTATGAACTGAAAATTGTCAAGTGTTTTGACAAGGATTTTAATAAAAAAATGCACTATTCTCGTGTACTCATTCTATCAATTCTTTATTAACTTTTTACAAAAAATTCAACTACATGTATCTCATCCTTTATATACGTTTTGCTTTTTTCTAGTATATTCATCTATTTTTCCCCCCTGTTCCAGTATCTCCCCCCTGAGCTAAAAAATCATGAAAAAGTCCATCATCTGTTTTAATAATCCTGGTCAACAATGAATTGCAATTCTGTGGCACCTATTTAAAAAGGTTGAGATCGTAACAGTATAGTAGCTGTTTTCACATTACTGATCATTTAATTCAACCTAGTCTAAAATTGTTTTGTATAATGCACATACCTACTTAGTTTGTCTCGAATTTGTTCGATAGTAAGTATTTGTGACTAAAAAGTTAGTCATCAGCATACAATGGTTGTGTTGCTATCAAAGTTTTTAACATAGTTATGAAGGTTGTTTATGAAAAGTAAAAACAGAGTGGGACCAAGTATAGAACCCTGGGGTATCCCACTAATAATCAGTGATTCGTCTGAATATATTTGCACACCTATTAATTCTATTAGTATTTCACATTTTTGAAGAGGGAATAAAACTCTAAATAAGTTGGTAAACGATATATCTTTATTCATTAAAAAAATATTCTCGCTTGGGCTTTTGTTTTAAAAAAATAAATAATTTCATATGATGAGAACATTTTTCGATAACAATAATATGGATATTTACAAAAAATATACGATATTCCATACTTTTCGGACACCCTGTGCATTATGTTAGTTATGGCTTGTGAAAGAAACTGACCACACTAGAGAAACGCCCCCTAGCGGTCAAACAAAATGTTGTGATTACCAGGAATTTTGTTTTAGCCGTTTAGCCGCATGGAACTGTAGTAATCCGGAAAAATTAGTCGAAGAGCAGATGATACACATGCAAGTTGCACTATATGCACTTTTCCAACGACTGTATGGAATGTATCCTTGTAACTTTTTGGCATACTTACGTAATCAATATCGAAGCAAGGAACAAATACCTATATTCGTTCACACTGTTAAGGTAAGACCCTTCCTTCCAAAATGGGGTATGTAATGCCCATGTTCCAGCCTATGTTGGACACTGTAAAAATGCATCCTTTGCTTGTCACCGCCTCCAAAGACAAAGAGACGACAACTGAAAGGTGATTACGCCTTCTGCTAGGTCTGAAAGTTCTAAGTGTTACCGATTGAACATTTTTCAGATGGAAGAAGATGGGATCACACGATGTAGTTGTGGAGTGCGAGAGATTTTCGCTTGATGTAGCTGAGCGCTGCCAACACGACTCTTGTTATTTAACATCATCATTTCGTTCGAGATCGGGCACAACAAACTCCACCACTTACGCAGGTTTGCACTTCGCATTCACCCGAATTTATAAGTGACTCCATTTTATAGAATCAACGAATCAATTACCAAATATCAAAAGTACATCCATTGCAAGTATAGCATACGATGCTAAGGACTTCTTTAGCCCTAGCATGAAACTGTATCCAAAATCCCCACCTGTTCAGGATTCAACTATTATAACCACTATACCTCAAGTGCAGGTAACTAACCGTTAGTATTTCCAAGTGGCTTGCAGTAAATCTTTCAGAATATTGCTCCAGCTTTAATAGGTAATGTTAGCACCTCGCAGGAAGGAACGTCGCCGCCTGAAGCGGCAATCGAAGCGACTCCGGAAACCACGCCAATCAAAGTAAGATACGAGATTAACTGTACTGCAGAAAAAAAGGATCATTTGTCACGTTTTTTTTTTGGTAGGATCTAGGAGCTTCCAGAGGTCAGCTACCGCACGCCTCAACCGCAGTACGCGCGCTAAGTAATTTGGGAAGTAGGAATTGGTCGATTGGTTCGACTAGTTCCACGCCCGGCCACTCGCAGCCATCTTCGCCTATGCGAAAAGACGTCTCGCCGTTCAGTTTTCCGACGGAGACTCGCCTGTCGGCCTTCGGGGTTCCCAAGAAGGAAACTTACACCTCGCAGAAGATACAGAAGCTAGTGCAAGATCGAGCCTACGTTAGTTCGCATGGTCGCCTTACGTTTTTTTAATGTTTCTCATTTAGGCCATAGAAGGAGAGACCGCTCGTTCTCCCGTTATATATCCCACTAGTCCGTTGAGAGTAATCGCGATGAATGATTGTAATAACGTGCTCGGTTCGATTCAGAGAATTGAGTCGCCAGTAAGTAGAGAGGACGAGGAGGTTCTGGAAATTGTGCGGCGGGGTGTAATGGACGGGGACGCTGACCTGCGCCAATGTGACAGTGTACTGCAGGAAGGGGAAGGTGGGCGCGGCACCGAGGTTGATCTGGAAGAATGTGAACAGGACCATGGCTCGCCGTGTACCGCCGGAGGTTTACATATGCCGAATTCTAGGTCGATGAACGATTTTGCGAAGCGTGTACGCCGCCTCCGTTACCACAGCCAGTGTGCTACTGAACCCGAGGTAGCTGAGGCCTCAACTGGCAGCAGTCCTGGAAAATGTAAGTTGGTCGGAAACTAAAAAAATAAGTTTCTCTTTTAATAGGATTGAGGTCAACGGTATGGATTTTTCTAGAACCGTAGTAGATCTCGCTTTTTGGCGCTAGCAAAAGACAAAAATTGGTTTTTTATGTCTCTCTAAAGTCACTAAATATAGAAAGCAATCCATTGGGCTTGTGTGTTAAGGTAAGTTCATAGCTCTCCGTTCATACGTTTCCGTTTGTCCGTTAGCCAATCAGAAGACAGCAAATTTTTAAATCGTACGTCGTCCGTTTACGACGGAAAAGTTGGTTGAAGTTGAACATTTACGTTTCCGTTGGCCCGTTTTTAACAAGAGTGAGGTTATGTTTGGTACGTTAACAGCGTTCGCCTATTCGTTCTTCACGGTAATAACCAGATAGCAATGTGTTCTTACTTTCGTACCATTTTTACATACTGAAAATGACGGAGAGTACAGTACAAAATAAAGTATAGGTTATGGTTATACTTGCAAATGTACAATGTGGACGGATTGCTATGAACCTTAACAAAATGTACTATCCGTTTGACGGATCAACGCAACGGATGAACGGAGAGCTATGAACCCACCTTTAGAGAGAGAACGCATGATTTTTGCCCAAAAATGGCGGACGTTACCAGATTCTAGTAACTTTAATGTTAGGGATTGTTCCACCTGTTTGGAGATATCTGTATATAATTTTATAAAACATGACAGTACTATGAAGTTAGGTTATAAAAAATGACAGCTGTTCAGATTTTATTCGTCAATTTTTTTAAGTTGGCAGCAAATTTTAAAGTGGCGGAAAAATTTTTTTTTATGTCATTTTGTAGAATTTTTTGAAAATGTTTATACAAACCTTGTCCTGATAATAATAAAAAACTCTCTTATTATTATTAAAAACAGCAGAGATTCATCGCAGTCTCAACCAAAATAGGACACACGGTACACACTTGTGATTTTTGAACTACAATTAGAACAAGTGGTAGGAAACTGCATTATGTACTTTTTGTATTTTATTGCGTCCATGCAACATTTACTGTTATCACACTGTAACGGATTAACATCGAGGTTAGCCATGACTAGGGATACCATCCCGCCGTAGTAAACCAAAATTATGACCGGGGAAAAATATACCATGTTCAAAAATTTATTGGATAGATACCTCCTTTGTAATTTTGTAATTTTGGTAAAAAATTGTTTTTTTTTGTTGCTAGTTTTTTTAATTGATATTATATTTAATTTTTAGCGCATTTTTTAAGAATTAAAAAAAATGTGCGTTTTGTCCGTCCGTCCGAACCCACTTCTAGGGGAATGGTCCTAGAGTCCTGGAATTTTTTGCAGTAGGTAGCCTATACCTTGAAGGTGTGTCAGACGGTCATCAAATTTGGCTGTCTAAAAGGGGGCCCCCCCACGAATTATTTCCTGAGATGCTGTTTTTGAAAGTAAAACGTACCTAACTTTTACATACTACAACCAATTTGTCTCAGAATTTGCATACGCATGCCTTTTGTGATGCCAAGTTATAAACGGCTCACTTCTACATGATTGGTTGTAGGTTTGTGACGTATTTAGACTGAAGCGTTTGAAATTCGAACTAAAAACACAGCTTTTCAATAATTTATTTTGGGTTTATTTTACTCGCAAATAAAAATTGAGGACACACGGATCTTTTTATTTTTATTGTACTTTGTGATCAGAAATAAAAAATGAAGCCGGGATGCTCCCATTAAAGGTCTCATCGAAAGGAACCGTTTTCTACCAACTACTGCCCTTCTTTATGTTCTTTATCAAAGTACGTGATGGAGGAGGGGGGGGGGAGAGTGGAACTAGTTTTATCCTTCATGGTACTCTAATGAAAGGAATTAATTTCTACCAAACATAGTCCTCCTCGACTTCTTATCGTGATCTGGTATAGCTATTTCGGTAAAAAAAAATGGGCTTTATCACAATTTATACTTCTTTTTAATGTAATCCCATTATATTTTTTTAACGCACAAAATAATGCAACAGTAAAAATATTTTAATTAAAAAAAACAGAATGTTAATATGTATCAATCATATTTAACAAAAGCATGTTTTTTTGGAACAAAAACCAACATATTATTAAAAAAAAATTCCGGAAAATCCCGGCCATGTGGTAACCCTAGCCATGACAAGTAGAAAACGAGAGAACATTAAAAAAATGCAATGGATGCAGGGGAGGATCCCCAAGGGGGAACAATCCTTAAATACTTTTAAAAAAAAGCATTATGCGGATCACTCTGTAATTGGGCGTAAGCCTGTTGAGGGCCTAGAAGAAGAGGGACAATAAATAAATAAATAATAAAATAAATAAATATTATAATTCGTCAACATTGTTGGTAGGTGAACCATTTTTGAGCAACACAGTGCGACGAGCGAACTCGTGTCCGGAAATAAAAAAAGAAATGAAGAAAAGTCCTTTGGTTCCTACGAAAGACAATATAAATAAACCTTTGGTGGAGGCCGACGAGGATGTTAAGGATGGAGAAGTTAAGCACACGCAAAAAAATCTATCGACAACCGAGACACAGACTGAAAATTTTTGGCCGATGCCCTACGAACATTTATTTTTGGGAATCTTTCCTTCCTTGGATGCTTGTGATATTAAACCTAGTCCCGCGCCGAGTCCTGCACCTTTAAACGTACAAGATAAGTTTTCGACTGTTTCTCCTTATGAGATTTTAGATAAGTACTGACATTATCACCGTCGAGGGATCGGGGAGTTAATTTTCGAATTTCAGGTATATAGACATAGCCGGTCGTGTGAACGAGCGCGATTCAATTAAAACCACCCGAGATCAGCTGTCCCTTTTACATCAGCAGTTACTCTTCGAAAGACACAGGCGCGAAATTCACGCCTTAAAGAATCGTCGCCTATTAGCGGATGCCAAAAATACTAAAGCTTTAGAAGAACACAACTCTGCACTGGTAAAAATTGTCGCGCCGACATTTTGACATTCACAATGGGTAAACTTTTAGAGAGACCAGGTCCAGCTACAGCAAAAAGTTATTGACAATCTAAAGGAGCAGTTGGAAAGCTCCAAGAGCGAATTGCATTACAAATTGCGGCATGGTTTGGAAACTGCCCACATATGGGAGGAGAAGGTGAATGTGTCCGATTTCCATTTAGTGTCATCAATAACGCGGATGTTTTAGTATATTTCTATGCAAGAAGAAAATAGACTTTTAAATCAGCAAATTGAAAATGAACAAAAAGCTAGCGATAATCTTAAATCGGACATAACACAGCTAAATAAACTGTGGCAACAATCACAATCATCTCTGTTAGATGCCGAAGCCGAAGTCAAGGTAGGTAGATAAAAAAACCGATTCAATCTACCGAGCACTAAGATATCTTAGTTTTTGTTCTTTGAAATAAATTGGTCAGTTAGTACTAAATGTTACTTTTTTGTAGATCGCCAAAGAACAAGCGTGGGCAGGCGAAAACATTAAAGCGGAATTGGAAAGCGTCAGTAAACAACTGTTATTGTCCGGGGAGATGCAGCATCGCTACCAGGAAAAGTTGGCGCAGCTACCGTTGCTGCAAAGATTTGAACATGAATATCTTCGTAGCACTGATACTTACACTAATGAAATTAAAAGTATGAAGTTAACTAAATCATTGAATACGGCTGAATTGCACTGAGGAGACTATTACTTTAAATGTGTCAATTAGTACAATCATATTAGGCTATTTCCCGATCTTTGTAGGTCTTTTCCAAGGGCTGGAGGAGGGTCAAAATAGAAGAGCAATAGTGTATGCTTTACAAAGGTTCTGGAACCTGCCTAGGAGGGCTCTGAAAAGTTTTGGATTCTTCTGAAAAACCATTTAGAAGACGTTACAAAGCCTTTTCGAATGCATTTACAGGTTGTCCTGCACTTTCCAAAGGTTTCAATATCTTCATTCGCCCTTTTTGTAAAATGTCGGGTGCAGGAAGCATTGAAAAATCTTGCGAAAACATGGAAAACTGTGTAAATGCTTCAGAAAGCTTTGAAGAAACTTTAGAGGACCACTGTTAAAAGGCGTTTAGAGGCTTGAAGAATCACAAGACTTTGGAACCTGTTTAGAAGGCTTCCAAGTGCACTCAAGCGTTTCTGAGAGCTTTTCAAGTGATTCCCAGTCTCCTTAGACCTTTTCTAGAGCCTTTGAGACACTTGTAGGTTACTTTAAGAATTGTTTCCTTTCCGCGGCTAGGAAAATCTAATATGTGGTTTTATAACATTGTAAGACTTGAACAATCGTGAGGTTTCCACACCCTTCTAGACCTTTTCCAAAGCGATTAAGTCTTTGAAATGTCTTCTGGTCACCTTAAGCCCCTGGTTAAGTTTTTTAGGCGTTTGTCAGAGACTTAATTATCCATATTGCTGTAGAAGGCATAAAGTGCGTTTTTTCTATGCTCTTTTCTCCAGTGGAAAGAACCTTGAAAGTTCGGGGAAATGTCCAAAACGGTCTGTAAAAGATGAATTTTTTGTAGATTTGCAACAGTTAGTTGAAACGAAAACGACGCTTCTGGAAGCAGCCCGTTCCAGGATTGGTGAATTGGAACAGCTTTTGTGTCACTGTGACGAAAGCACCGTCAGACAGAAACGTCTTCTGAGCGAAGTTGCAGAAGAGTACGAAGAGAAACTGAAGGTCTTATAATATTCAATAATTCGATTAATAAATATTCTTTTCAGGCACTAGAAAGTAAATACCTAACTCAATTGACAATAAGTAGAGTGAATGACGAGCGAATTTTGGAATTATGGCAACGAATCGAACTACTAATTCGTCATCCCGTTCACTCCCCCGACACCAGCAGTTGTCACGAAGTGCACGCCACAATAACCGACAAAACTAGTATTGCTACGGGCCTAAGTCCACATTCGTCCCCCTTATCAACTTCTCTAGCGTCTTCTGAGGGTAGTGTCGCTTTCGGTCATTCTGATATGAAAAACTTGCAGGTCTGTTACGAACTAATTTATTTTCCTTTTTATCTTCTCTCTTAGAATTTGTTAGATCAAAAGGAGACCCTTTCCCCAACCAGCAAAGCAGCGGAAGAGTTAGATGTTACGCTTTTAGGCGCAGTAAGTGTGCCACAGCCTTCGTCGTCGTCGTCAATAAAGCAGGACTGATTTCAAAAGCATAGCTTGTTAACTGTAAATGGTAGTAACATATTAATTTTGAATCCCCTTCAAAAAGTGGAAGAAAGTGTAAACAAGAACAAGGAAATTCTTCAATTGTGTTTTATGTAAATTATTGAACAGATACTGTTATAAATTGATAATTAATGTTATATTAATCATTTTTAAACTGGTTTTTACAAAGGGTGTTTCTTTTTACCCCAATTTCTTTTTTAGCAAGGACGTGTAGGAGTCCTCGCCACCTTACCAAATGGAAGGAAATCCATTCATACACCATGGCAACTACCAAAGAGTATAGTAAAGGCTACAAGTGTACAACGCTTTAGTCTGTTTAGCTTACTCACTTTAGCAATGGCTTCCACATTCCAGCGTTTGTTTGGAAGACTCTGAGTTCACCTTAATATTATTTACTTGTGTATTAACCACTGATCTCTTATTTTTTTAAGAGGTCAGTGGACATGTCTATTATGTACCTAAATGGATTTTAGTATTTTATCTACCTAATTTTTAATGCCTGATCCTTTTTTGTCTATCAGTAGTGTATCCCAATATAATTTATATGGTTTTCAAATATTCTCTGTGGAGTGCATTTGTAGTATGGTGTGTGTTCTTTGTGTTACGAGATAATTTTAGCTACTTATTGATCGTGTGGATGCTTGTGCAAGTCTTGTAGATGTCAATATTATGTGTTCGATTGTTTCTGATGAGTGCAAACAGAGTCGACAAGAATCGTGTCATTTTATTACTGTATAATGGATGTCTTATAGTTGAGTGTGTGATAATGAGCTGGTCTTGTAATGCTCACATAAAACCTTCAGTTTGTGGGAAAATACCACACCAATATGTGTGGCATTGCCGTAGAATCAAACAGAATCATAGATACTGTCGTGGGGTTGAGTATTTTAATTTTCGAGTCAAGTAGTGTCATTTTACTGGCGGGAATTGTATTAGATTTTTCCTAAAATCGTCTAATATAAAATATCAATTTTCGTATAGAACTTTTCATTAATGTCAATATACAACGAACTTCGGTAGGCCGCGCAAGACGGTCGGTTAAAAAATGAACAATTAAATTTTAATTGGCGGAAAAATTACATAAAACAAATTGTTCACAATCGTATTAAATTGTACTTGACAAATCAACTGTTATAGTCGACGAAGGGATCCAGTAATATTGGCGAAAACTCGAACGCCTCCAGCAGGTTATCCTTGCTCCTGGTCAAGGTCGGTCGGTTTTGAGATCCCGCTAAAATAACGGTCATACTTTTTTTATAACCACAGTGGAAAGGGAACGCCGGTTGTTCCAGCTGGCCGACGTATTCTAGTTCAAAAATTAAAACTTTACTAATTACTCGCTCCTCTGTTATCATACAAATCTTAAAATTCATGATTAATTAGCGCGCTTCTAATGACACTAAACACAATCTAATCAGGCGATGTTTGCTACAACGCATCTGATTAGCTATTGGTATTTATGCGCACTCAAATGGCCGAACTGAAATTTCCAAATTCGGTAGTCTGTAATGTCTATTGTTAAAACGTTAACTTGTAATTTTCTAGTCAGGCGAGAGGTCGGTTTTAATTTACGTACCGGCCCTAATCTCGGAACACCGGGCGCCACTCTATTACACCTGTGCAGAGGGCACCACACGTATGGACATTTCCCCCCATAGTAGTAGGACGTATGGACAAGGAAAAACAACCACCAACTACTTCCGGAGCACCTGGTACTGAAGCTTAAAAAACTCTCAGGGGCAGCGCACCGGCAGCCGATGAGGTAAGCGTAAGAACCAGGGGACTCTATGCAACCTGACCTCCTATCTGCTGAGCAACTCGAAAACGCACCTACCAAGGCTGCACTGAAGACTGGAACGCAAAAGTGACACCGGTCGCTGAAGGGAAGCAGCATGAAAAAGGCAAAAACAGACCGTAAAAGAACTGATTAGAACCTTTAGCGAAGCTGCTATCGAATTCAGAATGACTTTTGTCCAGGAAGACTTGGCAGAAACTTTCGGAAGAAGGGACAGGGCGACCTACCTAGATTTGCCTCTAAATAAATTTTCGTTTTTTTTTATTATATTACCCCATTTGGAGCATCCTGACAGACGGAGTCGGCGTTTTGTTCAATAGGGCGATTTCGCCCAAAGCTCCGTGAGAGGGGCGAAATTTTGATTCGATGAAATGAAGAACTCCCCAAAACCAGTAAGTTTAAGTGCACACGCCTCTGGATCCCCGGGGCTCAAGTAGAACCGGTAAAGATCCTGAAAAGGATGGAAGTCCGAAATGCTGGAGAATCTAACAACCAGCAATTGGCGTGTGGTGAATAGGAAGGAGGACCCCAAGGGACAAACGATGAAGATGGCAGTCATTTGCAACCATCGATCCTACGTGCGAACTTCATAAGGATGCCATTTAGACTCCTCTCCAAGACGAAGGTGGAGAGAGAAGAGGTGAACCAGCATGGAGTAGAAAAAAGGTACAGTGCCAACAACCGCACTTCCAGTAGGTAAGCAGAGTTTTATTATTTTCTTTTATGGCAAAACTACTACAAATCCATATGCACAGCTTGGACCTACAAAGGGCTAATACGAGAACTGAGCCTGAAAGGAGCGTGACAAGAATAATTAATAAAATTAAATTAATAATTAGATCGCTTGGCCTGCGGCGACTAAAACGGCGCTACAAATTAAAGCACTTAATTCTACCTTCTATTTCTCACTCCTAGAACAAAAATAAATGGTTCAGGAAGGTACAGTTTTTAGTAATGAAGCGCCCGGTTCCATTCATGTACCTACCGGGTGTTCATTAAAGCTGGTAGAAATCGCGTACGAAAACGGGTGCTTCGTTACAAGGGATGACAAGTCTCATTAGGCATTACACCAATGCGACAGTCTGGTAAAGTGGCAAGGCGGTAGGGAAAGTGTTACTGCGACTGTTGTAAATTAAAATGCCCGAAACGTAATATGAGGTCCAGTCACGATCGAGTTTTTTGTAAGGTATTTTACAAACGTTTTTCTTTCTTTCAATAAAATATAAAACTGATCTTAAAGAAATCTAAGTTTAATCAATATTTTAGCTTAGTTAAGCTTTTTTTACTTAAAAAAAACTGGCTAACCTACTTGATCATTACTCATTCAGCCCTATATGTATCACTAACGTTAAATTTAACGTGCAGATTATCTGTAGAAAACTTTATTTTGGGAGAGATTAAATAATACAAAATAGCGTTTTTTTGGCAGATAACCTGCACGTTATAAGTTTGACATTTCTGATACAACACAGGGCTGATTACGGGCAGCAGGAAAAGTGTCACTGTCTAGACAGACGTCAATTGGACGAGAGTCGAAAAACACTTTCTTCTCAAGTTTCTACACATAATTTTTTTTGAAACTACAATCAAAATTGAAAAGTTATTTTATTTTATTATTTTTTTTTTATTATACCTCTCTTGTTTTGGGCCCTCAACAGGCATGCGCCCAATTACAGAGTGGCAGCATAATTATCGTATGAAGTTTGACGCAAAGCAATCTAGATATGGGTATATTTCAATTTTAAACGTCATGATTATGACGCAGCAATTGTTTTTTACTTTCCTCACTAAAAAGAAAAATGACATTTTTTTCACCCTTTTTAGAGACGAAAGTTGTTGTTTCTAAGGTAGTTTCAGAAAATATGTTTAGAACAATCTGATAATTATCCATCGTTGGGTTTATTTTGCGATTGAAATCGCAGTATCTTTTTTGCTAACGTCAGCCGTAGCGACAATATACTTTGAAATCTGTCTGTCAGCAGATTCATGTGAATCATAAATCAAGGTGGTAATTATTTGTCAATTTAAAATTGATTTGCTTAGGAAAAATGATCTTGGTGTAATCGAGATGTTCCGTACGAAAACTTGTAGTTGTCGCGCTAGAATTGTCAGATTTCGATCATGCGCATTTCACTTTATGCGCGAAAATGAAAATATTGCTTGTGATTTGTGAATTATTATTGAGTGGAGAAAGTACTGTTTTGCTGTCTAAAAATAGGTATCATGTTTATCGTCGAAATCCGGAATAAATAGACGAAATAGTTGAAAAAGGAGCGAAAGAATACGTGTAGAGATTATGAGCGGGTAGTTACTTGTAATTAGCGCGAATATAAAGAGCCTGCTCGCAATACGGTAGGTGGTTACCGACAACGCTGCTTCTGTATCAGTTGCACGTGTAAAACTTGCAGAAATGCCGGCATCCACTTTGGACCCCGTGAATGCGGCGCTCCGCACGGCGCTATCGAAAAGCGCGTGCAGTAGCACTCTGGATTCACAACTGGCGGGATCAACCAAAAAGGCACTGCTGTCTAATATCGAATTTGAAGCTGCCGGCAGTTACCAAAGCTGCGTCTTGGATAAGCTCAAGTCGAAGTACATTGTGCTGAAAGCGTCCGAAACAACTGAGAACAGGTACGCAAAGTAATTACGATAAAACGTATCTCATTTCCGATCACTTCCACAGTACAAAAAGTAAAAAGTCTGAAACGGTCCCCGCTGACGACGGGTTTGTTCTGGCGAAACAGGAGCTGTATCCTTTAAAATCGGTGCAGCTAGGATGGAACAATGCTGATTGGTCCGTAGGCGCTGGTATGGTAAACATGGGCAATACCTGTTATCTCAACTCGATATTACAAGCTCTTTTTCACGTGCCCGCGCTAGTTAATTGGCTCATATCCGAAAAGCAGCATTCGACAGAGTGCGAGGATACAGGTAAGGTTCTACGTTTGTGTTATGCTCAAACGGATACTGTTTAAGAGTCTTCTGTACATAGGCGCCACCTGCAGGTCAAGAGATTACTTGGATCTATATATTTAAAATACCCGAAATATGTGACACAAAAACTTCTTATTTACGGCACTGGTGCAATTTCTGGTCTGATTTTCCACTGCAAAAATGCACAAACGTTGAATCCTTTATTCAATTTAAACGCATGCGTTTATTTCAGGAAATTGCTACTGAACCTGTGAGGTCTCTGCACTTTTATCTGAGATTTTGTGCTTCAAGGTCATTGCCTTAAAAAACAGTGTTGGAGGCAAAAATACTAACATTTGGTATTGCAAAAGTTCAAGCCGACCCCGTCTATCGGCTGCATTACTATTACTCTGGGCCGATGTAAATATATGAAACTCTGTTTAGTGTTGGCGCAGCACAAAAATGATAAATAGGTAAAATCATTGTTCATAGACTCGTCAATGGAATAGAATGCCTTCTGATTATTGTTATGTGGATTAATTTGGTGTTCTATTTTAATTTTTCATATGTAAGTGTCTAGTAGGCCTTGGAAAATCGACAAATGTCAAAGTAGGCCATAAACAATCAACAAATGTCAAAATTGACTTTGACATTGGTAATTTATTGGTTCCTACGTTAGATATTAGGTTTGTTCGTTTGTCTGCACTAATCAACACCGGTGTACCAAATGCGTTCGTTTGTCTGTTTGTAACTGCATGCATTCTGTTCGTTTGTGTAGTGCAATTTGCCCATTTCAGTTCATAACAGCACAAACTTGTTCGTGCATTTTAGTGCGAGCAACTTAGTGCAGCATAAATTAGACGTGAAAAGACCGTTCTCATAACCATAAACATTTTGAAAAAACAAGGTGGGGAATCTGCGATGAAGAAATTATTGGAAATGGAACTTTTATTTCATGATATTATTGAACAATTTATAAGTAGATCGTCAAGTATAGTGAGGAAGATAATATTGCAGAGGTCATACAACAAGTAAATGAAAAATAGTTTCCTGTATAATAAATAATAAATTTATCACTCATGATGCAATACAAACGTTTTTTGCTGGTTATTTATTTACTATACCCTAAATAAGCGTTCGTTTGTTAGATGCCAGTGCATCAAAAACTGATTACTCCAGCTTGCACCGTGACGTCACATCAGTGTTGCACCAAACCAATCGCGCAAGACAAACGAACAAACCTAATGTTTCTAGTTTTCATTCTGTCTCAAAATGTTAGTTGTATATATATGCTTAAAATATGTAATTTGAATCGCGTACTGTTCATCGGCGTACTAACCACCTATGAATAAAAAACCTTAAAAAAATGACCAATTAGTCGAAAAATGCGAAATTAAAAGAAAACTACCAAAAATAGATACCGATAACTTTATATCATTAGAAACTAGAAAACTGATGAAATTTCGCATTTAACAAAATCAAAAAGTGCGAAACTGCATTTTATGATTGAAATTTGCTAAATTGGCAAATTTCTGAAGACAAACAAAATTCAACCCTGCCCGAGTGGCCTACATTGGTACATTTTATGGTCCACAAAGGACTAAGTTTGAGAATTACAATCAAAGCGAACATATTTTAGGTTTGTAGCCTTAAGGACTCATGTCCCAACGGCAAACTTCAAAAATGTGCGTCAATAAACTACAGTTTTGTCCACATACTATTGCCCTATCCTGTATTTCTCTTCAATGGACGACCATCATTTGCTAATTATTGGTTAAAAGGCAGTTATGGTTTTTTTAATTTATTAATATTGAAACTAAAATATTGACATCATTTTAAGTGAATCGAAAGAAATCCTCATATGAGATGGTTTTGTCCGTCCACGCTCTAACTCTAGAACAAAAAGAGACAGCAAAGACAAACCTTCCCCAATAGATTTCAACGAGTTCAGGGATCAGATCTGTTCAATATGAGCCGGATTAAAAGCCGAGTGTCCGAGTGCTCCTACTGTATGCAATTTTTTTTACCTTGTTACTTTATTGACAAGATTATGCTCACAACACAGATTTACGTTTTAGAAAGTATAAAATGCAGGAAATTCATGGCTTGGACATTGACACACTTTGTCATTTTCCAATTTGCCAAAAATGTCTTGTTTTTTCACAAAAGACCCGAGTAGGAGAAGCCTATTGGCATAACAATGGCAGGTGCCATTGGGTACCGATAATAAATCAATACAATACATCTCTTTGAAGGCAAGAAGCAATTTTGTTAAACGTTAGATACAGTTGCCACGGAGATAGAACATTTCGGGTCGCGCAGGTGATGTCATTAGGTCGCCAATGATGAGTGTACTTTAATAGCTTCAGATTACTTTCTTAGCGACGGCGTAATTACTTTCATAATGAATGTACATAATTAGAAATTAAGCAAATTGGTCATTACGCAATAATAATTACGGTTGTTTGTTTGCGTTATAAAGAGCAATTTGTGAAAGTAATACATTCATAATGTTACATATTTAAATATTTTCGCGAAGCAAACAAAATGTACTTACTACGCCACTGGAATTTCCGAATTACCGCGCTTAAAATAATTGAAAAAACGAGTGCGCATTCAACTGTCAAACGTTCTTTCTCTGTGACAGCTGTATTTGCACTGAAAGTTTTCACATTATCAGTAGATGATTCTCGTGCAGACGTTCCACTTGCCCTTTATGAGTACCTCTTCTGACAATTCACCGATTTAAATATAAAAATCATTGAAGAACATGAAACACTACACTACATTCAATTTAATGGATGACCCAATTTTATTCTTGAATATAACTCCGTAGGTGAAAATTGAAGCGCCTATTTTGGCTCACTCTGTACATTAACTATGACTCACTGTGTACAGTGACCTATATCCATGTAAAGATAGAGAAAAAGCTAAAAAAATGTCTATTTTAGATTTACGTAGGAACTAGTGACATAGTAAAAAACATGTTTGGACCCCAGTTTCTGAGCCCACTCAAAAATAAAGGCAAAATAAAATAAAAAAATGTTGGTATTTTTAAATGCAACACCCTGTACCTACATCTTGAAATCTATTATTTTTCCTTCTTTTTCCTGATTACATTGATGTATAGCCACCTATATTTTCTTATACAGGGTGTTACATATATCTAAGTATGTAAAAAAAGATCGGGTGGTAAATTAACCAAGCGTCCAACACGTTTCATTTGGGAAGCACCCTCAAAAAAGTGATGAAATATGCATGTCTTCTCACCATAAGGCTGACAAAGACGCACGTCATCAAATAGGTGTAACACTTATGGTTGCTGAGAAAAAAGTAATGAACAAATGCAAATTTCACAACATTTTTGATAGAGGCTCCCGAACGAAACACGTTGGACCCTCGGTTTATTTGGAAGAAATGTTTTGATCACCCCTACCACTCAATTTTTTTTTACAATTTATATGTAACCCCCTGTATAATTACAGTAGGGTCTTGCTAATCCGGACAGGCAAAAAACAGACCCTTGGCGGGTTATTAAGCTGTTTGGATTACCATATGCAAAATTTTAATAGCTATAAAATTTGAATAAATGAAAGATTTAAGTACATGTTACATTAATTATAGAACAATACATGTGAGAGCCTTTGTTGCAAAAACCATGTAAACAAGGCATTCACTAAAATTGGATTTTCAGATTCCTTTAGCGTTTTTCGTGCATTTGGGCCATGTTCTGTTAACGTAAGAAATTTTAAGATTTTCTCTTTGTTGTTCTTGCCAATACCACACTTGCGAGAAATGTAAAGATAGCTATCACCTTTATTTATCATCTCTAAACGGTATTTGCGGGTATCTGAGGCGGAAATATTCAGAATAATTCTAAGGCAACTAATGCTGATGGTATTGGAATTAAAATTATCCAGTATTCCAGTCCAGTAATTACGCATGTTATTAATTATTGTATCACACATTCTGTATCTGCCTGGAAGTAGGCACGGATTGTACCATTGCCTAAAACTTCCAATCCTACCCCACTTAAAGCCCTACGTCCAATAGGCATACTACTAACTTTGTCTGGGGTTATGGAAAGGTGATTGCTGTTCAATTTTTATCATATCTGCAGCTTAATAAAATAATACCCATCGAACAATCGGCCACAGTTGTAATATTGTGCTATTGATAAAATAAAATTGTTGACGATATAATTCATTCATAGTAAAGAATTAACACAACAATTAACTGCCTTGATTACACAAAAGCTTTTGATATAATTATTCATGAATTACTTATCGCCATGTTGCAGTACATGGGGCTATCCAGCGGAGCCAGGGAGTTAATGAACAACTATCTGAGTAATAGACAGCAAGCGGTATCAGTGTCCGGTAGTATGTCTCCCTTGCTGTATGTTGACTGTGTGGTACCACAAGGCTCTGTGTTAGGCCCAATTTTGTTCAGTTCATATATTTCAACCTTCCTGTTTATATTTCAGTCCCATTTTTTTGTGGAAGACACACAAATTTATTAAAAAAATCTCTATGGCCTACTTTGGTGTGCACTCTTGTAAATTTACATCGGTGCAGGGGTACAAAAGACTCTAACCTTAATGGTGGTTTTGTTGGTGGGTGTTGTTCGTTGCAGCTAAAATTTCGCAATTGTTTTCAGGTGGGAGTATATGCATAATATGTGCGATGCGCAAAACCTTGCAAGATTCCCAACAACGCAATATTAATACAATCCGTCCTTATTTAATTTACAACAAGTTGAGGATATTATGCCGACATCTAATACCGGGCAGACAGGAGGACGCGCACGAGTTCTTGAGATATTTAGTCGAAGCAATGGAGAAGGCGTATTTAAGCCGTTTTAAAAATAGTTCCGAGTTTGACTCGCGAACCAAAGAGACTACACCGTTAAATCAAATTTTGGGTGGTTATTTGAGATCGGCCGTTAGGTGTTTGGAGTGTGGGAATGTTAGTACAACGTTTCAGCACTTTCAGGATGTTTTACTAGACATAAGGAAGGCGCAGACTCTCGATGAGGCGCTAGAACTGTATTTTTCGCGAGAGAAACTCGACGACGATTCGTATCACTGCGAGTCGTGTCAAAAAAAGGTACCCGCGTGGAAGCAGTTTTCCCTGGAAAGGGCGCCTATGGTTTTGTGTATACAACTCAAGCGGTTCTCGATTAATAGCAAAATATCGAAGCAAGTGCATTTTCGGCAAAGGCTCGACATGACGAAGTATGTCCGGAGACGACCGACTGGACCTTTGATCTATAAGCTCGTCGCTCTCGTTACTCATATGGGAATTAGTGTTAATTGTGGCCATTATACGGCCATTGCTCAAGGTCCTTCGGGGAATTTTTACCAATTTGACGATAGCATAGTAAGTTTAAATTGTTTAAATACTTTATAGGTGAACAGCCGTATCAGAAAATTAATCACCAAAAAGAATATGAAAGGTACAACTGTTCACCTATATAGTGTTATAAACATTTGTTTTAATTACATTGTTTAACATATTGATTATTAGGTTAAACCAATTTCCAACCAGGCTGTGTTCGGCACAAGCGCCTACATCATGCTTTACGAGCTCGAAAATTCGCCATTTTCGCCCAAAAATAGCAAGTTGTTGTCGCCAATTAGTACAATTACTCAAACACAAGAGGAAGTGACGACTACATCTTCCAACGGGAACCTTAAGGTTTACGGACCTGTGCTTCCACCCAACAAATTTCAAAAACAGGTAACAACAGCTCAAAATGGAGTTACATCTACACTGAACGGAAATAGTGAGCAACCAGAAAAGAGCCCTCAAACGCATTCACCAAAAACGGATAAGGAAAATAAACCACTGGCTTCGAGTTCCGCAAGTTCACCAAATGTAAAAATCACAGGCAACGAAAATAAATGCCCTAAAGCTCCATTAGCTTTGAAAACGGACGGCAATAATTTAAAACTGGCCGTGTCATCTCCGAATGTAACCAGCACGACCGGCGAATCATGTCGAAGTCCGGAAAAGTCAGTAACGAAGACAAAGCTAGTCCCATACGACATGGACGATTCGTCAAACAACTCCGAAGAGTCCCACCCTAACACCTCAAAAGTGCCCTCGGTTAACTCGCCCGATTGGAAGGTGTCGTCATCGAATGACGGCGCACCCGAACCGTCGACCGAAGGCAACACCTGGGATAAGAAAGTGTCCAACACCGTTAACGAGCTCTACCAAATGTCGCACAACGGTTACGGATTTCCGGTCAAAACGTGGAACGGAACACGGTCACATCTGGACAAGGAGGTCGGTAACGAACGAAGGGAGGCGCGAAAGAGAAGCATGGCCGAATCGGAACCCTGTCGCACTAAACATCTCAAACTCAATTCAAATAATACTCACAACGGAAATTATAACCCCCTGCAGGTTAGTTTAGGGGTGGTGATCACTGATTGTACAGGGTGTCCATTTTTTTGAGTGCCACTGTGGGGGTCTCGTTTATCTTAAGAGATGGAAACTTGGTTAAACGAGGGCAAAACATGGTGGTTCATTATCACATTTTTCCTAAAAATCAATTGGTTGCACAGAGTGCTGTGGAAAACAAAACGTTCTTTTGTTAGTCTGGTTGTGGCGTTGGCATTTTCGGATTCTGGATTACGATAGGAGAGTGACCATGGTCCACGCATACCTGGGCCTCAAATTCGGGCCCTTTGCACTACCCCCCTGACTAGTCGTCGGATCCCTTATCTTCACTTTCCACGCACACTTCGCAAAAAATTAAAAATTGTATTTCTAGGAAAAATGTGTACTGTACCATCATTGTAAAGAAAAAAAGACATAATCTCAAAATCCGAAATGGCGTCCATAAGAAAAATAGTTACCACATGTTTCTCCGTCATATTATAAATTATTAAAAACATATTCATATTGTCCATAAAAATTTGTCTGAATAATATTTTGGTTAGAAATGTCTAGGATCATGAAAAAATTAAAAAAACGAAAATCAGACTCGTTTTTTTGCGATATTTTCAAAACTATTGAAGATATTTTAAATTTCTTTTCAGATTATTATTCAGCACGAAAATTTGCAAAGCCCCCATTTAGCCAACTTTCTACTTCTTATGAAGCGAGATCCCGGTGGCAACCGAAAGAGGAACACCCTGTATAATCGATACTATCATTAGGCAAAGTCTAACCTTGGATGTTTTAGGAATATCACAATTCGAAAAATTGGACTCTAGGTAACGGACGTTATAGGACGTTTTACAATTTACACAAAAGACATCGGAACGACCATCGCATGTATCATCACAAAAATTTCCATAAAAATCATCGTTTTCGCCGTTGAGGACGTAATTTTAGTCTATTGTAAAGATGTATAAAGGGGAAATAAGTACTAATAGTGAAAACTCGTGAAGAAGTTAGATTTAACTTTGTATAGATTATTTATTTTATTCGTTTTGACTTCCTTTTTTAGTATCGCATTTTGCGTATACTAAAAACTTTTAATATTACTTTATTTTAAGCGTACGTGACTAGGTCACAAAGAAAGGATGTAGCAAAGGCCCATTGTTTAACTGATTTTTTCTTGCTGTGTTGTTTCGAAAACGGCCTACCTACTCTTGTCTGTATCTCAGTTGGAATTTTGTTAGTTCTAATCAATTCTTGTTAAGGAAATTGCGTGTGTTACGGGATTTGTTTATTTTTTTACTAAGCTATGCAAAATTAAGTAATATTAATTGGGTGGTAGTTCTTTGCATCTACACGAAAATAGACCATTTCAAATTCGTGACGTTGTTTTTGATATCTCAAAGAAATGTGTGATAGGTGTGAACTTTAAAAGGATTTCGAATAATGAATAAATGTTCACTTTTTACACTCCGCTTTCATAGCTGACGTAAATGTTTCGTACAATTCATTATTAGGAATTTCTGTGTTATGTAAATATTTCGTATGTGTAATATCATGATTATGTATTATAGGTTATCTAAGTGATCCCATCCATGCTACACTTTTCTAAGTATTAGATTTTAAATGTGTTCTATAATTTCATATTTGTATCGTTCATTAATTGATGTACTTTTACGTAGATAGATATCTTTGGAAGGACAGTGTGGTATTTATGTTTTCCTTGCATTTACTATTCGATAATTTTTATTATATATATTTTTTACTCTATTCAGTGTTATAATTTGTACAGAACAAAGTCTGATAGTAATTACATGTACAAATTGCAAGCTTGAATAAAATATATCTCCAATTTTAAGGGCAACCCAAATAAAACTTGCAAATCAATGTATCCTTGTATAACAAAATGACAAATGTTTATAGATAATCTAGCTATGATGAATTTATCAAACAATTGGTACGTTCATAACACTGTTACGTCTCTTGTAATTATAGGTGATTGACTAAATATGAGCCAACAACGACATGGTTTTGTGAGAGGCTTGGTAACCAAGGAAAAATGTCTGGTATGGTGGAGAGACATCCTGAAAACCCTTGAATGTCATGAAGACGGTGGCCACCCAAGGGAATAGTGTTAGCAATACAGAATACAACGACCAAGTCAATTGCTGGAAGTAAGACTTCACAGGCTAGCCAAGCAAGAGAAGAAAGGCTATGTTGGAAGTCAAACGGAGATTAGCTGACTGAGGAATAGAAATGGACGCCAAAAAGCCAAGCTTGCTCGAATTTGAAACAAGAAAGGCCGAGCAAGAAATCCTGGTGGACTTGGAAGTGGCCATCAGAGGGGTAAAAAATGAGTTCTTTATCATCTCGAAGGAGTGAAGGCTGTATGGGATTTGTGCATCGGCATCCCTTACCATTGTATCAAGATCAAGACATTGCTGGATTGTTATGACCACATTTGCAGCAAGTGAATAGCACAAATGCGTGCGGAGCAGATCATGGAGTTGACTAGGGACGTTGGGAAACATCAGGTTTTGCTTTGGCGTGATGAAAACGGTCGCCTTCCTGAAAGCAGAGAGCAAGCTTTGAGACGTCTCAATCACTCAAAGTGGATTAGGACAAGGTATGGTATTTGCCCCACTTTGGAGTCTTCAATCCTAAAAAGTCAAATCAAATCAGTGTAATTTTTTTGTTTTTTTTGTATAATAATTTTAGATGAGGCCACAAAGAATCATGGAGCGAGTTTCAATGACAATTTTCTCACAGGTCCTTATGTGTGGAGTCCCTTCCAGGGATTTTGATATCAAAGAGATGTTCCACCAGGTTCTCATTCGAGACGAAGACGGAGATGCGCCCAGGTTCCTCTGGACATAAGACAAATTGCAGCCTGTTGAGGAGCAGCAGATGAAAATGATGATATATTTCATGTCAGTGTTGGACCCTCTTGGCTTTGTGGGGCAGTTCATGATGAAGGGAAAAATGCTGCTTCAGGGGGCGTGGTAGAAAGGAGTTCGATGGGATGAATTACCTATGCCTTAAAGAGAAATGATCAAATATCTTTACCGCGATGGTGGATCTCAACCTGGAAACTGATGACATACATCAACTACACCTGTTCACAGACCCCAACGAACCAGCATTTGATGCTGTTGAATTCTTTACGTGTATAAGCGGAAGGATCTGTTCATGCACTAAAACAACGCTCTCAATACCATGCTTGGAGCTTCAAGGGTCGTAGTGGTGAGTCTTTCGGGCATCAATAAATAAAATTCAAGATAAAGTTTCTTTACAACTTGGTTAATATAACAATATAGATTTTAATGCATTATCAATATTGTTTCTATATGCCTAACTGTCGCCTTGAAAATTTTTCACGCTAATGAACAGATGTGCCTACATTTTTATACACCTATTTCACGTTTCACAAAATTTAAATAAATAATACGCAATTACAAAAATTCTAAAAGGAAAATAACACTACAGAAATACAAATGAAATAAACCAACTTGATCTGTGCTTATTTATAATAAATGTCTTTAATAAGTACCTAGGGTAAATTACATAGAAATGTGTACAAAGGGCGAGATTCAGTAATGGAATGAAACATTCCATCCTTCCGATTTACTTTATACAGGGTATCCCATCATTATTTGCGGTGTTTAGATCTAAATAACGTCGACATGACGTCTGCGCAACAATATATATTTAAAAATCTCTTCTGTTACTGGCTGACAGACAAGCACTGCCAAAACTACTAAGCGTAGACGGTTGAAATTTGGCATGTAGGTTTTTTGGGGATTGTAGGGCTTTTACATTTCAAACTGTGAATGCTAGAGACTTTGACATTTAGAACGTGGGTTTCTTTAAGGGCGTTATGGTTGTACGGGACAGAAACGAATGATTAATAGGACCTCTAGTAATGTTTATGGCGGAAAGTATAAACATAATACAATCGTACTTCAGTAACCGTAGTCAATTTGTACAGTGTAATAATAAAAGATCTTAATGTCAAATTGTAACATTGGGCGTTCCTCAGGGTTCTATAATTGGATCTCTTTTATTTTTAATGACATTTGTCTAGGTGCCGCTTTCACCACTGTATAATGATGACGACGCGACGTAACGTATACAGTATTTCTTTCAATCCCGTGCAGAATGAATAAAAAATAAGTAAAGCTCCATTAGATAGCTATAGTTTTAAATATGATAGTAAAACACAAAATTAGTTCTTTTCAAGGTCAAAAGAAAGTTTCCATTAATTTCCTTGGCGTCCTTATAAATTCTAAACTGACATGGAGTCAACATGATGGTAGAATTAATGCAAAACTAGCTTCAGTCGCGTATCTATTAAAACATGTATCCGACATGATGTCAGTATGTATCTATTACAGTTATGCTTACTTAGGGTTGCCATCTCAAAACTCTGCCAACTAGGACAGGAAGCGTGAAAACCCCGGATTTAGGGATTATAAACCTGAACATATCAACTGAATTTGATAAAAAAATATTGTCTAAAGAAATAGTCTTTGAAATTGTACTTTATTTTTATCACTGACTAGAATGTTTCAATATTCAATAAATTCCTTTCTTTGGTCCACTGTTATGTCACTAGTGAACATTTTCTTTCAACGTTGGCATTATGAGACCCCGCTGGACCTAGCCCCTCCACCATTGTGAATCAATTTAAGAATGGTATCCATTTATGAGCTATTTAGGAGCTTTTCATATCGCAAGCTTAAAATTTTAGACCTCACTTTAATCACTAGGAATCGAACATTTCTTATGGGGTGGCCGAGTCTACTTGGATTCAGCCCCCCCACTGATCAGAATTACTTTTTTCAAATTAAATTTGTACTGCAATTACGAGCTATTTAAGAGCTTTAATTTACAAGTAATTTCGATTTTTGAGCGCCACTCCTAAAAGAGCAAATAGATATAATCGATGGGGCGGCCAGTTCCACTTGGACGTAGCCCCCCCCTCTGTTATCGTTTACTTATTTCAAATTAATTTTTATGCATAGTGGGGTCGTTATACGCCAACACCAATATTTTTGTCATTAAAGCACCAGATTTGGTACACTTTCTACTTAGGTGGACCCGAATGGAAATCGTCCGGGAGGGGGTAAACTTTTCTTACGCCGCGCGCGCTGTTGGTCGTAATAACTTCTAAATTATAACTACTAGTGCAAGTGTGGTTTCATTTTCGCATAAATAAAAGATGGCCATTCATTTTCTGAAACAAAAATGCATCCTTACGGACAAAAAATTGAATTACGGTAAAAATCTAGAATTTTATTTACAAAAAAATTGTTCAAATGACCATAAACTTTGAACTAGCGCCGATATCGCCTACAGAAAAATAAAATGCCGTGATTAGGTACCAGCCCGAAGATCTACTGAATTATTAATTATAGTAGTTGAGATTTATTTGGGGGGGCTAGGTCCAGCGGGGTCATTATGAGCAGGAATGCAAAAAAAACTAGGCAATTTTCAATAACTCCTAAGTATAAATGAGGATTCGGTGTTTTAAAAAATTGTAACCAAAGCTGATTGGCGCTTAAGTTTTGTTGGCTTACATTTTGACAGAAACTCATAGATGCCTCAGTAGCTTAAAACCCAGACGGATGGCAACCCTATGCTCACTGAATAATTTGTTATACAATCATACTGTGTGCGTTCATAAAAATAAATTGCACAAACTACTGGGGATCCGTGTTTTATAGCAGGTTGCCTGATCACAAAAAACAAAATAGGCTTTTTTAACTGAAAACCCCTTGTACAATATTAGATTTTCATGATGTTATTATTGTCAAGGTGTGTACACATTATTTTTAATGTAATATAGCTAATATTAAATATTATATTACGACCTAAAAACCTTAAATACCATCCACTTCAGTTGCTATTGAAAAAAGAAAACAATGTTGTAGTTTCTATTTTCCGCTAACATGAACAGTTTCTAACAATAGTTTTACTTTCTCATTTTTATAATAATAAATAATTAACTACCTGAATCAGTACAAATTATTAAATTATATACTCTATGATACATCAATATAACTTTACAGCTACAATGATAATTGCATATTTTCTTAATATTAGGAGTACCTACAGCGTTAAAACTTTAAAAAATAAACACAGTATAAAATAAGACGTATGTAGTTGATAAAAATAACACAGCTAGCCTTAAAAGATTTGTACTACCAATCAGCCAGTATTAAAAATATAAAATAATGGTAAGATAAATGCAATATTCAATAAATAAATCACACGAAAACGAATAAAGCTATCACAATAATGAGTATAACAGATAATATTAGTATAGCGGTCCATTGTCGTCTATCTGTAAAGAGAATAAAATTAGACAATACAAAGATTTGTTCGAGTATACATACCGTTAGACATGTGTAAAACTTTTGCCACTTTTTTCATTGTAGAATCCATTTTGGAGTCCGTGGTCTCCAATTCGGCACCAAACTCGTCTAGCATACTGAAATGAGAAATTATGAAGCCTTTATAGTCCTATCCTATCTATGTATTTACCCAGCTTGCTCGTCCAGCTCAATTCCAATATGCCGCGAGACGGTTTTAAGAGATCCAAGGGAGTTACTAATTACTTCCAATTGTTCATCTTGCTGCCTGGTCATGTGATCTTGCTGCACTAAGGTGCTGTTTAAAAAATTCCTCTGCGGGCTGTCGAGCTCATTTTCCAATTTGGAATATTTCGTAGTACTGTGTCTGTTAGGCATACGGGCGGGACTGTTGCTCTCCAGCAAGGGCTAAAAGTACAACAAACTAAGCGCACGAACTGTTGTACTAAAAAAATTACCTGTCTGGCTGTTCTATCTCTATCTCGACTCCTATTCAAATTCATCTTCTCCTTCATAGCCTTAACATCGTCCCTAGTACAATCTATAAAATTTTTTCTACTCGTTAATTCCTTATTATCTATTTTAAATTTCGAAGGATTTTTTTCGACAATATCGATCGTATCTTCTAAGTCTTCCAAGTCCCACTCTATACTACGTAATGAATTCTTTAGTTCGTTGTTGGTCCATTCTAACTCATCTTTGGTGACGCATATCGATTCATCCTGCAATTCGACCCAACGAAGATACAGTCCTCTGGTTTTATTTAGCGCTTTGAATACTTCACTGGAAACAAAAAGAAATGTCAGTATCTTGCTTTAGCTCTCATGCTGCCGTGTATTTTTGTATTTGATAATACAAGATAAGTTTGTTGTGTAATATCTTATTTAATTATCTTACTTCCATATTTACATCAATGACAAACATTTCAGCCACGACACTAAAAAATTGAGGACTGAAACAACATGCGACAGGAACTTGTCGGGACAGTTTACTTTTTTCCAAGAATTTAAGAAAACAGTTGCTAGAAGATGAAAATTATCTCTGCCAAGATGGCATCTCAGCATTATACGTTGGGAAAGTAGGCAAGTTGATGGTGGTAACTCTAAGAAAGATGACAAAAGAAAAAGTGCTAAAAGCTCAATGAGACCTACACTGTATATGACCATTCAATACACCCTGTTGCAGGAAGATTATTGAGAAATGCAGGTTGATGGTTTAATTACACTGTGAATGTAATGGAATGTCGAGCGATATCTAATCAGCAGCCTATCCTTAACAACAAACACTCCAAAAGCAATGTATTTGACTTGGTAAATAATGCGCATTGCCATAAGAATAAATAGGGATTACTTCTCTTCCACGAAGAGCATCTAATAAAGAACTACTTGCATTTTTGCGTGCAAAAACTAAAGGATACAAAAACAAAGCCAAACAATAAAACACCGCAACAACTGGAAAAGTACTCAATTGTTTATTTGCAAACAACAACAATAATTGCTTACTCTTTAACAACGAAAAATGGGTCCTCCAACGTCATGTCAATTCGCGTAGGCAGGCAGTTCGTTGCCGAATAAAACTAACGATACGTTGTGTGTGACCATCGAGCTATTTATGCTTTATCTCCTTTACTGAACAGAATTGTAATTGTGTATAATTAGAGTAAACAATGAGATAAGAAATGTAAATTTATCGACAAACTCACCTTAGTTAAAAACCCCACACTACACACGGTTGGTGTCTTCGTCAGGGTGACCAACATAAAAACAGCTGTCATTCTTATTCTCATCACGTACGAGGACCGATCCATAAATTGCTCGTTGGGTCGCAATGCTAAAGGTACCTTTACACTATAATATATCTCACATGATTTTTTATATGATATTTACTACCAACATATTTTTCGTATGAGTTTTAATGTTTTACTAGATATAGAAAGTACCGCAATCATCCGCCATTTTTGGGCAAATTTGCTGCCAACTTAAAAAAATTGACAAATAAAATCTTAATAGCTGTCATTTTTTATAACCTAACTTCATAGTACTGTCATGTTTTATAAAAATATATACAGATATCTCCAAACAGGTGGAACAATCCCTAACATTAAAGTTATTAGAATCTGGTAACTTCCGCCATTTTTGGGCAAAAATCATGCGTTCTCTCTCTAACACACGAGCCCAATGGATTGCGGTACTTTCTATGTTTAGTGACTTTAGTTATACACTGCCTTTTTTTTGCCCCGAAAAAAAAATTGTCTCAGATCGACCCGGAAAAAAAATTTTCTTATAGAACGTGGCCTGTAGAATCCATAATTTCAAACAGTTCCAAGATTGGGCTACTAGTTCAAAAGTTACAGCCTTTTGAATTTTCTTTCGAAATTGGTTTCTAGTCTATAACTTTTGATTGAGGAGTCTGATCGAAAAAGTACGAATTGTTTTGGATTCTACGCACCAAAATTAATAAGAAAAAGTGTTTTCCCGAGAAATTTTGGTGCAGTCGATTTTTGGAAAAAAGGAAGGTTGTACACTGCCTTTTTTTTTGCCCCGAAAAAAAAATTGTCTCAGATCGTCCTGGAAAAAAATTTTTCTTATAGAACGTGACCTGTAGAATCCATAATTTCAAACAGTTCCAAGATTGGGCTACTAGTTCAAAAGTTACAGCCCTTTGAATTTTTTTTCGAAATTGTTTTCTAGTCTATAACTTTTGATTGAGAAGTCTAATCGAAAAAGTACGAATTGTTTTGGATTCTACGCACCAAAATTAATACGAAAAAGTGTTTTCCCGAGAAATTTTGGTGCAGTCGATTTTTGGTAAAAAAGGAAGGTTATACACTACCCTTTTTTGAGTCCCGCAAAAAAATTGTCTCAGATCGACCCGGAAAAAATTTTTCTTATAGAATGTGGCCTGTAGAATCCATAATTTCAAACAGTTCCAAGATTGGGCTACTAGTTCAAAAGTTGCAGCCCTTTGAATTTTTTTTCGAAATTGGTTTCTAGTCTATAACTTTTGATTGAGAAGTCTGATCGAAAAAGTACGAATTGTTTTGGATTCTACTCACCAAAATTAATAAGAAAAAGTGTTTTCCCGAGAAATTTTGGTGCAGTCGATTTTTGGTAAAAAAGGAAGGTTATACACTGCCTTTTTTTGAGGCCCGAAAAAAAAATTGTTTCAGATCGACCCGGAAAAAAATTTTCTTATAGAATGTGGCCTGTAGAATCCATAATTTCAAACAGTTCCAAGATTGGGCTACTAGTTCAAAAGTTACAGCTAGGGAATGCAATCCCGCAGCAAAATCTCAATCCCGGTATTTGCGGGATCGTTAGATGTTAATCCCGCGGGAACCCGGTATTTGCGGGATCCCGCAAAATTTTAAATAAATTGGCAAATAAGCAATTTTGTGCGGTTAACTTCTGTATTAAAATAAATTGCTAATTATCATAATAAGTATTCAACAAAAAAGTACCTTCAGGCTAACTTAGAACTAAAAAAAATCACCTGTAAAACACAAATAGGTGAACTTCTAAAGTGTCTCAAAAATCATAGTACATTTTTAACGAAAAAGGTTTAACAATTATTTTAAAAATAATTTCTCCGTTATGCGTTTCATTAACAAAGCAAACAGAGTCGTCCCCTTGGTCGACATTAAGGATGAGTGTACCCTTATTTGAAAGGTTACCCCAAACATTTGAAGGGTTAATTACCAATCAAGACACTATTTGACAATGTGTGTCTGAAAACACCACTACAACCAGACAACCAAATACCAATATACTCGTAAATATTTATTGCTCGATTTATTGTTTATGTAATTTATTCTTTCATTAAGTAACTAATATACCTATAATCATTGATTATACACACCTATAATCAATGATATAATCAAAAGTTTACTGGTTTACTCAAGTATTCAGCTTTTTCAGATAAGTACAACAGCAAAATGCGAAAAGTAACCATAAAAGGGCGGGATCACTGGGATATTTAAAATAAGTCATATCATTTGTCATGCAGAAATAGAAACATCCCTATTCTACTATTTACGTATTATTTCCATATTATTTCCTTATGATCTGTCTTATGACAGCCATAATACCAAAAATAGTATAGTGTAAACACAAATCTAAATGCTTGTTACTTATCATATGACAAATCACATGAGAAGTATGATAGTCTAAAGGTACCTTAAGCAGTATTCGACGTTGCAAATACAAGTATCCAATTACTTTAAAGTATTTAAATACTTTGCAAAGAACAGTTTTACAGGAAAATTAGTATTCGAATGTACTTTTGCAAATAAGTAACCAAATACTTTGTAAACTGTTTAAATACTCATAAAGAATTTAAATACTACCAAAAAGATTTAAATATTTTCTAACGTTCGAAATGTTGGAACACTTTAAAAACAGTTTCAAATATTGTCTCAAAACAAATGTAGAATTTGTACATTAGTCTTTTAAAACAGCTTGGGTCCAAGAACCAAATTTTTACAGCCTTCCCTGTATATTTTATCAGGTTGACAGTAATCAAAGATGTTATGAATGCGACCAATAACTATTTAATTCATTGTATGATTGATAGATGGCAATACTTCTCAAAAATAAATTTAAATTAAATGTAAAGTTTAAACACTATTTTCACTGAAACATTAATTAACGGTAAACGTGTAAAAGATGAGTGTTACAGGACAAGTAGGATGTGCGGTATGTACCGAACCATATAAAATAATTTCCGTTGTGATACTTTTATGTTTATGCAGCACTACCTCTATACCTATTCGAACTAATTCGAATTGTTGAAATAAATACAAAGTTAATTATGTTCTTCAAATCAATTTTTTGTAGGCAATTCCCAAACCTTCAGTGCACACAGCGGTGTTAAATCCACAAGGATCAGCAGCACTGCTTCGCAAGGTCCTCTCGTGTTCCCTGGCTTCCATCTTATACACTCGTACTAACATAAATAGAGGCGACTTTATCCATTCAAGCGTTAATGGGCAACCGCTTCAAGGATTTAATCGCAAAACCGAAACGCCTGCAATAACGCAAATTGTCACCTGGCTTAAAGGATCGTACGATGCACTCGATAAACACTACGTAAGCACAATAGCCTCGTGTCTAATATTTTCGAAATGCCGGTCATGATTTTAGTTGCGGGAAATGTATTTGTTTCTTAATAATAAGCAAACTGGAGACATTATGGAGAATTATAAATTTGTGATACACTATTTCGACTCAAATGAACTGTAAGTAAAGCACCTACGTAAGATCTACTTTTCACTTGCATTGTTTTGTAGACATCACAGAAATAAGAGCGATTTCGGACAGAGTCTCACAGAACTATTCAAGACAATACAAAATTTGTTTATTGAAGACAATATTTTGGAAGGGAATGATCTTAATTTTTATATGTGTGTTAGTTATTATGATAATGGTAAAGAATTTGTTTAGGTATACTTATATAATACCTATTGCTATGTTAGTTACACCCAGCAATTACTGCCCGGTAAATTTTATCGAGCCAGAGGAGGATGTGAACCATATTATTGAGAGTATTAGATTTCCCTCCCCATACGAGACAGTTATCAGAACTGTCTCAACAGGGTTTCATAGGGTGGAGTTTGCAACCAATCAGTATACTGCCATAAATGAAAGTGCCACCATGTTGCAAGGGTTGGATGTGGAGACTGAACAAGCACGTATGTGCCACTGTAGGTGAAAATAAATTTTTTGACTAATTTACAGTTTTGGAAAAATTGAACTGCACATGCTGCATACCGAAGCTACTCTCCTCCATTCCTTTCCTGACTTGCTCAAAGTGTCAGTCCATCGCACATGCTCCATGCATTGGTCGTGTTTATCACGTAGAGAATTCTTATACATGTGCGAGCTGTAAGGAGCAAAATGATATATCCAGATCAACACCTGGAGATTTGTGGCGCATCCAAAATCTTTGCACTTATCGGTATGGCTCCATTAATTTTTGAACGTTTAACCATTCTTACGTTACAGCTTGATTTTATTTTATGCGTATTCTAAGAACAAATTTCCGAATGATCTACTCAACGAAATTGATCCAAACATAAAGGATTATATTGTGAAAAAGCTTATTGCAGTGGCTGCAATACGAGAGACTACCAAAGGGTTGGGATATTATGAACCCAATATGTTTATAATCAGTCATGGGTTTTTTAGGTACTTGATCAATCAAGCTTGTTTGGAGCAGATTATTAGACGATGGGCCAATTCGGATGAAGAGTGACCACTTTTCTAAGATAAGTAAAAAAGGTTTCATTTCTATTTGTAAAGATATTTGTTACGTTTTCTAATTAATTACACGCAAACAAAGGTTTTAGTTTCGTCATGGTGATAGTTTCATTTTCAATTTGAAACAACAATTTGATGAAAAAAGACAGTAGATATAGGCATAGGCTTTTTTTGTTTACTTATTATTTATTAATAACATTTGATTCCATTATTGAACATTTCCAACTCTGGGGGACTAAGAATCTTCTAGGTGTCTAAGTAATCAAAGGATCCTCAAGCATGGAATGTACTTTGAGAAATCTTATATTCTGATGTTATAGGTTGAACAGAGGAACTTGACCTCTACTCCAATATATGACAATTAGTGCCGTAACTAGGCATTTTTCGAAGCGGTGCCGGATCAGGTTTTGGCGCCTTATCACTTACCATTGAGCTCTAATTAATAAAACACCGTACATTTTTGAGAGAAACTTTACACGAGATTTTAAAGGCACTGCGCTACTTAAATTTTAGAAAAATGCTTTGAATAATGAAGTCTTTCACTCAACAGTCAACGAAGAATAAATACATTTATTTATATTGTTTCCAATTCTCGCGTCAAATTTAGCTATGACATAGGGTACAAGTCGTAGAAATGATTGCGTCTTAGAATAAGGGTGCAAATGCTGGTCACACTAATACAGACTATTGTATAGATCACAAATAAAGTATTATTATAATTCGTTTAAATGTGCAGCCTTTTCCTACCGCTGTAACTTTGTTCTACAAGGGCCATTCAGAAAGTAGCAGACGGTTTGAAATAAAAAGTTAAGAAAGTGTAAGAAACAACTTTTATTATATACATTTGGAAGCTACACTCTTAGGCTATTTTTCAACATTGTCGCCATTCCTATTGAGGCGCTTATCAGTGGCGTACGTAGAAATTTATTCGGGGGGGGGGGGGGATTAAACAAGTTCGTGGCACATACAGACACCCAGTGCGTACTAGAAGGGGTAGGGGGAAATAGAAATTGGGTTGCAGGTTGCTGATATCTATTTATTATTGTACAGGCGAAAAAATTAGATTAGAACGGTATTTTATTTCTCACTGCTGACAGGCCCCTTTATTGCTTTTGCTTTAATTAGTCAACGAAAACTTTGAATAATAGGTATATTTATGGGCAAAAAACCAATTTCGACAAAAAATTCAAAGGGCTGTAACTTTTGATCTAGTAGTCCGATCTTGGAACTGTTTGAAATTATGGATTCTACAGGCCACATTCTATAAGAAAATATTTTTTTCCGGTCGATCTGAGACAATTTTTTTTTCTGGGCAAAACCTTCCTTTTTTACCAAAAATCGATTGCACCAAAATTTCTCGGGAAAAAATTTTTTCTTATTAATTTGGGTGCGTAGAATCCAAAACGATTCGTACTTTTTCGATTAGACGTCTCCATCAAAAGTTATGGGCAAAAAAATTCCTGTTTTTAAAATTTAAAATTCTTATATTCGTCATTTCGTGAAAGGCAGGACGCAGGTACCTCACCTCAGTAGCAGTACTAAGTACCTGATACCTATTTGTTATTTTGGGCATCAATGTAGCGAATTGCCGATCGTTGCCGAATACCCAAATCGTTGACTGCCAACACTGATCAGTCACTGAGTAGTGAATACTGAATACTACAGAATGTTTAGATTTTAGTGACTTTAGACTTTTAACCAAAACCAAAATTGCTCTCTATATATACCTATATATTATTGCCTTTATTTTAAAGTGGGCGGAGCGGATAGCGGAGTACTACCTAAATACCTAATAGCTATGATGATAACTCAATTCATCGGCGGGGGGGGATATATCCCCCCCCCCCCGTAAATACGGCACTGGCGCTTATCATAGTGTGGTACAAGTGTTTTGATTCAAACTTTGTATACCTCCGCCGTCTGTGGGGGCTTCAGAAGTGGGTACCGACAAAGGGAATGTGGTAAGATCTTATCCATTGTGGAGTCAAAACTGGCTAATAAAAGTACTGATCTGCCACACAAAAATTCGCTGAAATCCCTTGGATGTTCCGTTCATCCTAAAGGACCGTAAATTTAGTTTTAATTGTATTTCACTGCACCCTGTATTCGTCTTTAGCAAACTATTAGAATTTAATCGCCGTTCTTGTCTTTTATGACTGGCCTATACGGTACACCGCGATGCCCATCCCGACTTAGTGCCCTCGGTGCTTCAGCGCCTCCGGCGCGCCCTCCCCCATGCAGAGCGCGGTGCCGCGGCACCTTTGGCACCTGCCTAGTTACGCCACTGATGACCATCATGACCACTTCCGTTTTCACCTCTAGTTCTTAGTCAGGAATGATCTTTTTAACCATATACAGGTTCCTTTGGCCACCTATTTTCTCCGTGATACAAAAATTCTGGGTCAATAAGTACAGTCCATGAATCCGACAAATATTTATTTATTTATTATTATTGCCCAACAGAAAACATCCATATACAGGATAAAGTTGAAACTAATTAATTGTATAAAACAAAATAACATATAGGTAGGTAAAACAAAAGATTGCGTAGGCAGCATAACAAAATAATGAACCATGAAATGTAGTGAAATGATGAACAAGAAATCTCTTACATAAAAATAGCTCATAAATTAATAGTTATTAATAAAAATTGCGAGCAGCGAGCACTTTTTGCAGTTTTTGTTATGAGGAATGTTATCAACAATCCAGTTATAATTTTCATATGTAGGTGTTCGGCTTCTTTCTTCATGTGATAGCAGGAAGAGGACAAGTGGTAAGACCTTGACGAATTTTTGGGAATTTATCTACATATGAAAATTATAACTGGATTGTTGATAACATTCCTCATAACAATAAATTATATTTACACCTAAAGAACCTCCTAGTGTATATGCAACATACCTTGCTTTTTAAAATGTAACAAGTGCTCGGCGTTCGAGCGCTTTTTTCTGCCCGCGAGCGGTTTTTCCGCTCACGAGTGTTTTTTCCCGCTCGCAAGCTCTTATCGCTCGCGAGCTCTTTTTCCGCTATTGAGCACTTTTTCCGCTCGAGCGTTTTTTCCGCTCACGAGCACTTTTCCCGTGCGCTCCCGATAAACCGCTCAAGCACTTTTAGGAGTGCTCGGAACTCGCAAGCGGTTTCGCTTTGCAAAACAACTGGATGCTCGCGAGCATTTTTGAGAAAATTTGAGCTCGAGCAGTTTTTTTAGAACGCTCGACGCAACTCTGCCGCCTATCCTACTAATTTCGCTAAATTATACTCTCCTCTCTCAATATCTTCGTCTCTGTGCGTATTTCCTTCTCCCTTCCCTGCACACACGATGCTTTTGCATCTTACTTTTTTTCTCTATCTGCAATCTGCATGTAGGTTTCTCTCGCGAAATAAGAGAAACATCTTAAAAATGCAGGGGGTCAATTTATGTGTGAGAAGGTGGATTAGGAGAGGGCCTATGGAAATGTGGTACCTAATCGACAGAGCCGTCCTTAGCAAATGCGAGGCCTGGAGCGAAATATTTTTGCGGGGCCAATGATTGCCGGGGGGGGGGGGGGGGTATGGAATACACCCGAAGGAAGGGGATCCTCCACCAAAATTATACAGGCAAAGTCGACATTTTAGGCACTTTGAATGACTGTCACGCGGCGAAAGGGAGAGGAGGAGATCATGTAAGATGACTCACTCACCGGCGAGCTCGAGGCTTTGCTCGCGACTAATTACTCTCGTGCGAATGAGAATTTCGTTCGTAGGTTTTTAAATTAATCAATAATAGTTGAACTGTTGAGTGAAGGATTTAATTACTCAATGGTTGAACATATTGCGTGGGTAGTCAGACAGACATTTTATATATTTTAGTATACATGGTGCCCATTATGTATGGAATATAATATATATCTCGGCAAATATCGAATGTATATAAAATTATTCCCATAATAAGCTAGCATTCAGTTGTTTTTATTTCAGAAAATAAATCAGTAACGAAAAACAATTGAATTTTTTTAAATTGCAATGCATCTTTTCATTAGGCTCATTTGATAGAGATTTTTTTCTCTTTTCGATGATATAACATAATACAATACACTTATTCAAGAAAATTTTTCAAATAATGTATCATAATTAAGATGCGAATAACATTAATCCAGATATCCTACATCAAAATAAAACAAATGAACGTGTACGTTTCTTATTAAACCTTGAAGACAAAACGAAATTAGCATTAAAATGGGTTTCATCATAATGAATGTTCAAAATGTTCACCATTAACTGCATAACTGGCATAACCTATCACAAAAAATAAAAATTAATTTCTTCTACACGAGTGCTGTGTTATGTCATTGAAAAGAATCTCTATCAAACGAGCCTAATGAAAGTGTGCATTGCTACTTTAAAAAAATCAATTATTTTTCGTTACTCGCTTGTTTTCTGAAATAAAAACAATGGAATGCTACCTTATTATGGGAAATAAAATGTTAAACAACTTTCATATAGAAAAATCTTTACCGAGATATAATTATACTATGTATATCCCATACATAATGGGCACCCTGTATATTTATATATTAAAATATTATTATATTATTTTCATTCAACCAAAACTTATATTTATTTTTTAACGAGAGCAAGGCCTCAGTGCGAGGCCTGGAGCGGCCGCTCCACTCGCTCTACCCTAAGGACGGCACTGCTAACCGAGATGAGCCAGATGTGTATGAAGAGTTAGTGGACCACTTCACAAAGGTATTTTCAGAACAATATAAACCATAATCAAATGACAATATTCCCCACATGACTAAATGATTAAATAAAATTATTTGCATTTTATGAGAAGTGGGAAGTCACAAGAAGGTTTTGTCTAAAACTGTTACAGAACAGCGCAGATTTCCCACTCCCTCATCCATTGGAACAAACCGATTTTTGATCTCTCTCTACTTTTTCAGAAATCAGACCTGTTCCTCATTTTATTGTCTTTTACCACCCAAATCATACTCAAGAATTGAAATCAACAACCTTTATGGTTTTATTTTTGGAAGCTAGGTAGCTTGTTACAAATCATGTTATTTGATATAGGTACACACTTATAACATAACAATCGACTTATGCAAATTTATGAAACATAATTTTTTTCTCAGTTAAAGAAACTACAAAATTACTATTACTAGTCTTTACGTTACATATGTCAAAAATAGGATCACGGGTAACCGCCGAACAAACTTTCCTAGCGGTATTCACGTCCCACAAGCAAAAGTTCTGTTCAGATTCTTGATAGGCCGCTACGAACTGGTTGGAGTTGTAAGTCACGAAACTCGAACGAGACAGATAAGTCTGTACCGTGCTGCCTCTCACAGTCTGACTGGTAAGGCACGATAAACCGCTTGGTGTATTATGAAGTCGACAGAGGTAGTGTCGTGAATACGAACAACGCGAGTTCGGTCTGGAAGACACTAAGAACTGTTGTGTATTAAAATCGTAGATCATGTACGTGAACGGGCCCTCCAAAGGTAGTGAGTAGGAAGCGTGTTGGCTGCCACCTTCAAATAACCACACCGAATTCAGTTTACAGGTAATAAGCCCACCATTAGGCAAGGCTTCGTTAGAATTCGGCGGTATAGAGACAATTGCCAAAACTGGACACTTATCTCCGGGTGTCTCCATTGTGGCAACTGGTAAAGTGAACTGGCGAATATCAAGCTTCTTCACAGATCCTTGATTTGTGCCAACGTACAAATAATTCGAATCTCCATTGTCCCAACTGCACGACCATAAAGGCGAGTCACAATGGTAAGTGACAACAGAATCCGTTGTAGTGTCGCTCACTTTAGCAGTCTTATCCAGCGAAACACTCAAAAGCCGTGGCATTTCAGAATGCACTCTCACGTCTCTTATTGCTTTCGAATGTAAAGCTATGTACGCTGTTCGCTTGTACGTTTCCACATCAATTTTTCGGACCCCAAAACCTGGGAATAACGGATTGACAGATGCAATGGACGCCACCAATGCATTATCGCTCCTACAATAATCGAGCACTCGACAACCTCCATTACAGCAGAGCTCGATCGACTTATCCAAGTAGAGGTTGGCAGTAACACGAGCGTTAAACTCGGCTGTCGGTTGGGACTGTTCCAGAGCTTTGGTTAAACATTCGGCGTACTTCTTTAGCTCGTGTGCTCGCTGTTTAAGCGCGTTCTCACGGCAAATCACTCGTGAGTGCTCAACTTCCAGCTCTCGTTGCTCTTCCTTTATCTTTCTAAGTTCTTCCTTTAGCCGTCCCAGTTCAGTGTAATCGGTGACAATTAACTTTTTCAGGTAAAGAAACCTAATGTTTTGCACGGAACTTGGTGCTTTGCAACTAGGACAAGTTTTTCCTTCGCCCGTTAGCCAACGGAATATACAACAGTAGCCGAAGATATGGCCACATTTTAAAACACACAATCTATGATCGCCATTTTCCCAAGTATCAAAGCAAATGGTACAGAATGGATCGCCGGTACGGTCCACGTTTGTTCTTTCAGATTGTTCTTGATTCACTGATGGTAGGCTGGATGGTTCAGAATTCGAACTTTCCTCATCAGAGTAAGTGGTGGTGTCATCAGGATTCTGTTGATCAGATTCAGATGAAGACTGGGAGACAAGATCCGCCAAATCCTCATCGTCTACCTCCATGTCAACTCATTTCAAATATAAAACCTAAAATTCTGGTTCACCCAATATTTATTTACTCAAAAATTTAAATGCTCACTAATCACAACACAACCCACAGACCATCAACGGACACTACCATAGACCTCTTATATTTATATGAACACCATGTATATAAATATATACCGGGTGAATATTTTCAAACCGAACATAGGCAATTAACATTGGAAAAACGTTTTTTGCAGATCGTTGCTCTCCATGTTAACTAGGGGGTTTATAATGACACCAATCAAAAGAAGATTTTTTTCGTCGTCTAATGATATACGAATTAGTTTATTTTCAGGTGTATTTCCCATTATTTTATCAAAAATTCGGTAGTAAATCTAATTAGCAAAATCATGTTAAAGGCCGCTTGACATGGAGCAATACAACGCGCAAGAACTTGCAGAAAGAAATTGCAAGGTCAAATCCTTGCATGCAATAAGCATTGCATGGTATTTGACATGGTGCAACTCTATTTCAATTGCCACATGTCTGCCAACAGAAGAAACATATGGATTTGTCAACAAAGTAGTTAACCTCAAATGAAAATTAAATTTTGATTGCTTGAAGAAACATAAAAATTACAAAAATAAATAAGATTAATAAAAACAAGTAATGTGTGCGTCTCTCAGCATCATAGTTGCCGCCGCTGTATTTTACTAGGTTGGTGACACAAAAACAACTAGATTTATCCCTAGAATTGCACGATTCATGCAAGAAGAATAGCACCGGTCCTATAAAAATTGCATGCAAGTCTCTTGCAGCAATTGATCAGCTGGCTTTGAACTGCGCATGCCTTTCGCAATTTTTCTTGCAACTTGCATGCAATTGCAATTTTTATTGCTCCATGTCAAGCGGGCTTGCCATGGAAATTTCCTAAAGAATTGAATTAACTTTTTATTGAGAAATCTGATCGAAAAAGTACGAATTGTTTTGGATTCTACGCACCAAAATTAATAAGAAAAAGTGTTTTCCCGAGAAATTTTGGTGTAGTCGATTTTTGGTAAAAAAGGAAGGTTATACACTGCCTTTTTTTGAGCCCCGAAAAAAAAATTGTCTCAGATCGACCCGGAAAAAAATTTTCTTATAGAATGTGGCCTGTAGAATCCATAATTTTAAACAGTTCCAAGATTGGGCTACTAGTTCAAAAGTTACAGCCCTTTGAATTTTTTTTCGAAATTGGTTTCTAGTCTATAACTTTTGATTGAGAAGTCTAATCGAAAAAGTACGAATTGTTTTGGATTCTACGCACCAAAATTAATAAGAAAAAGTGTTTTCCCGAGAAATTTTGGTGCAGTCGATTTTTGGAAAAAAGGAAGGTAATACACTGCCTTCTTTTGGGGCCCGAAAAAAAATTGCCTCAGATCGACCGGAAAAAAATTTTCTTATAGAATGTGGCCTGTAGAATCCATAATTTCAAACAGTTCCAAGATTGGGCTACTAGTTCAAAAGTTACAGCCCTTTGAATTTTTTTTCGAAATTGGTTTCTAGTCTATAACTTTTTATTGAGAAGTCTGATCGAAAAAGTACGAATTGTTTTGGATTCTACGCACCAAAATTAATAAGAAAAATTGTTTTCCCGAGAAATTTTGGTGTAGTCGATTTTTGGTAAAAAGGAAGGTTATACACTGCCTTTTTTGAGGCCCGAGAAAAAAATTGTCTCAGATCGGTCCGGAAAAAAAAATTTCTTATAGAATGTGGACTGTAGAATCCATAATTTCAAACAGTTCCAAGATTGGGCTACTAGTTCAAAAGTTACAGCCCTTTGAATTTTTTTTCGACATTGGTTTCTAGTCTTAAACTTTTTATTGAGAAGTCAGTGGCAGCGTAAACGTGAATTCAGTCCCAAAAAGTTTGCCAACTTCGTCTATACGTACCGCTGCGCTGGAGAGGGAGTAATCTAACAAAGCGCTGCTTGCGCATCCGGCAGCAAACTAAAACGTGCTGCACTCTCACTGGTCAAAACGAGAAACAACCAGCTCTACGCCTGCAGAAGTTCACCTTACCAGCTCGAACTCGCGCCGCGCTCCACCAATCGGAAGACTTGCATCCGGGCTCACTCTTACGATAGCGCTCGACGTCTGCACATCGGCACTCACTATGTAGGTATATTTATATTGTAAAATATTCCATAAAACGCAACAACATTTTAGTGTCGCTTGTTAAATGAAATATTGGTCATTAATTTCGTGGTGCGCCCTCTGTTTCAAAACTTTCAAAGTGTCATCAGCTCCGGAAAAAAGGGGCGAGGGGGTAGATGACTCTTAGCCCTACCACAGGAAGAGCTCAGCCTGTCGCATTGGTAGTTACGTAAATGTGTGTGCCATCAATTTGAAAATAGCTATATAACGGACATGGAATAGGTGATATGCGCAATAATGCGTTTGTAACAGGAGCAGTAAAAAGAGACGTAGGTACTGATTTGAGCGGCTAGCTTTCCTTGTTGTGCTCAATAAAACTCACTAACTAGGTACTAGATTTATGTCTGAAATTTCAATACTGAAAAATACAAGATCTATTTTTTATTCTATTAAAAAAATCTGTACACTTCGATACTACCCAAAATATTCTGAATCTCATACAACCCCCCCCCCCCTCTTTCGATTCTTCCTATGGATTATCTTGTGGTACGTACTACCTGGAGCAGCACTTATGATGTTGTGTAACCTGTGGTTAAGTATTTTTAAGGATGTTTTTTTAAAAATGTTTGTTTGTGTGTTTGTTTTTTCATGATATGAAGGCTCATCGTTCTTTTTGTATATCTATACTCAATGAACTTGTCCATTTGTTTTACATCGTTTAATTGGTCTGGTCTTTCCATCACGAATACTTTATGGCCCATATTATTTTCAGGGCTTTTTAGCACCTTGAATTTTTAATCAAAGAAATGACCCAGGCAGTTACTCACACATTTTTTGGTACCTATTACACATTTGTTCGCTTGCTACCTTCTTTTGTCTGCGAAAAAATCAACACATCTCCTGTAGGCTTATAATAAAATCTGTGCTCGGTGTCTATTCACCGCGATAATTATATTCTAATTCTTCTGAAGTACTGTGCGATCAAAAATGGGTTGCTGTCGAGTCACCTATGGAACCTTTGTTTACAAGGAAAATCGTATTTAACTTGAACTTCCAAAGGCGACTCGACAGCAACTCATTTTTGATCGCCCGTTAGTATAGGGCCTAATGAAAGAAGTTCTCTGCGAGTTTATTTTTAAAATTGAGTTGGTGATTAGATGCCAAACACGACTGAAAATTAATTATGGTTTTGCGCCAATGTGAAGATTCTTGGGTTGTCAAATAGTGTTATTTATCTATTTCTGCATAATGAAAATCAAAAACTTAACTAATTGTTTTATTTTTTAAATTTAACAAAACTCGCCATGCTTTCTAAAATTACAAGAAGTGGAAAGCGGCACTTGGCTCCTCCTTTAAATTTGTCATGGAGATGTAAAATAGTTTACAACAAATACTACTTTATTTCTAAAAGTAAACATAAATAATTACATCTTTACATAAATAATAATCGAAAATGAATGAACATAAATTACAGAGAATTATGAAACATTCCATTCATTAAGTTCGTTTTGAATTATGTACAAGTCATGCAACTAATTTATACAGTTGACCACATGTGAACTACCGTATAAATCTCGAAAATGATTCAATGTGAGCAAATGTATGAACAGTGTCGAAAGGCAAATGGCTCATCGTTACTAACTGAATAATTGTTCTGTAGCTCTTTCCATATCCCAATTATACGAAGATAAAGCTACTCTCGCTTCGTGCTCGTCCACGCCCATCTCTATTAACTTTTTTATTTTATCATCGAAATCTTTGTTAGCATTTGGACCGCCGGCGTACGCGTTGGTCCAGTGGCGCGCCGTCAGCTGGAACATCTCCACGTTTTCCTTAAATTGCTTAGCGACGACTGCATCTTGCGGATCGTCCGGTTCAGCCGCTGACAGTAGAGCTTGTAACGATAGCAGAACTGTGCGAAGGGTCATTGCGGCGGCCCTAAATTGGTCAAAATTAATGACCTTGTCAGAATGCAACAAATTCGGCAAGAAACCACAAATAAAAAAGTTAAGCAAGTAAATAACAAGAGTGAGGACTATTAAAATTGTAATGAATATGCTCTTTTAGTTGTTCACTGATTCTGACGATTTTTATTGTGGTTCCTCAGAAGAGTCACGGCAACAATATTTACCACTGGTCCTTTAATATATCTAAACAAATGGCGCCGGTTACCGAGGAAATGTTTGGATGCCATATTTTGGTCATAAACCGAACCTGAAAAATTCGAAATTTTATACCCGTCGTCGCACTCGCAGTTTTACCTTAGGTGGATTAAACGGGTACGTTTCAGGTACTTTAATTTCTAAAATAAAATTACCGCCTTCGTACGGAGTGTCGGGAGGACCTGCTATTTCTCCTTTTAATTCGGTATAATTGTCATTGACTAATTCTACCCTAATAGCACATTTGGCAACCTGAAACCACAAAAAACGAGTTAGTAGCAGATTAAACAATCAAAATGACGTTAAAATAAGCATAACCTTTAAAAATTAACCAGCACATGCTCAAGATGAAAACTTTGATATAATCAATAACAACAATTTCAAATTTCTGGTGGTGAAAACTGTGATAATTATTGCGATGTCCAAAGAAGATGACGCGAATCGTGAGTACTCAATAGACTTTTTTCGAAAATGTGAAGGGAATTTAAAATGACAGCCAGTATAATACCCCTAAAAAATGTCTTTCTCACCTCCTCACTTTTGATAACCTCCTTAAATTCGCGTTTTATCCTTTGTGCCGCTATATTTGCCATTCCTTAAAAATAGTTAATCTGAGACGGAGGAAAACAGCATGTCCAGTGTAATGTAAAAATACGAGAATTTTTTTCGAATTTGGTTACAGTTTGCTAATTTTCCAAGATTTAGCAAACTCAAACAACAGACTTCATTTGGACTAATGTGAAGGCAGCAGTGACACAAATGGGGTTGCTATGTGTTGCCAACTTCTGTTAGTTTGATGCATTCAACTGTTCTAAATAAATCAGTGGCGGGGGTCTATTTCCAAAAATGTTATCTAAAATAGAAAATTGCCAACTATATTAAAACCTGACTAGGATTCGTAGAAATCTTTTTCAGAATTTTCCTTTATGAAAATCTATTTAGAAATTTTCTTATTCAATGATCTACTAATTCCGTTGATGAAACGACAACGTACATATATGCTCTTCTTTTCTTGCTTCCAAGTTACACAAGTAACATAGTGGGTACCTACGCATTTTGAACATTCAGAATTGCTCCTATTTATCTTAAAACGTCCTGAATATCAAATGGATGTACATAGTATGTACATCTCTCAATAGTCATTAGTACTATTGCACAGTTCTTTGGAAAATTAATGGCCCTCGGACAGTAAAAGTAACTATAGCATACCCAACTAACATCATAGCCATTTGATGTGGAGGGGATCAAATGCGGTTAATTCGTATGTCACAAGAATGGGCCACTTCACAACTGGGTGATTTGATTTGGCATTTGCGCGACTTTAGTTGGTTATTGGTGCAGGTAGATTTTTTGCTTATTACAATCGAGCCTTTGAATTTTGGATGTATTAGAGAAAGATAACAGAATTTGTAATTACACGGTCAGAAAATTATGCCTAATTAGTTTGTTGAAGACTTGAAGTTGAGTAATAAGAACTTTTATTGAAATATCGGAAGTATTTACCCTTTAACTACTAAAGCGTGTAATTGTTTGACAATTCAAGAAAATTTCATCACTTTGAATTTCAAATTTAAAACGATAATAAGTAATTAATTAGAACGCCTTCATAAATTTTAAATCAAATTTAATAATTATCGGTTAACAGTAACCGCGATAGGATAAATTGAAATCAAACGATCTAGTTTATACGGAAGTTGAATGTAGGCTGTATAGGTTTTGGAAGAGTTAAACCAGGTAAATAACATAAAAGCCTTGAGTAATTCGATAAAACTTATTTAATTTGTGAAATATACGACAAGATTTGTAAAACATACATAATTTCAAACAAATCCACCGCAGGAAACCGCGTCGTCATAGCTGATAAGATTCAGCGAGCTTAGAAGATTGCAGTCTAAGTCCTTAAATACGTTACGCTCGAACAGTGTATAATAGAAAAGAAAGAAAGACGAAGAACAAAAATGATTTTGTTAAAAGAAATTAGATATGTATCAGGTGCATCGTGAAAATCCAGTGGATGCATCCTCTGATAGCCTATTCTTGTGCCAAATATGTACTCCTCCAGGTGTTCATGTAAGTACACAATCGGAACAACTTAACAGATGAGGGGTTTTGGCGCATGTACAGTCATTGACAAAAGTAATGTTCGCCGAATAGATAAATCCTGCATCACAAACAAACAACATTTGAATATATTGTGCAACTTGAAAATGCAACCAAAAAATTAAGGTATACCTCCTCTTAGAAGAAACCAACGGAGGCTGATCTGATAGGCATGTTCGTTGCTATGCTACAGAGTTTACCTATTAGACGATCATTACTTTTGCCAATGACCGTACATTATATCATATATGTATGCTTCGAGGTATGCTCAATCTATGTGTTATATATATTCTATGTTCGATGGGTCAATTATGAAACACGTCTGTTAAAATTAATATCGGCAAGGAAACCGTCAATTTTTACAGAATAGGTATACTTCATATAAGAAATATAGCTCTACACAGTGTTATCTGAATATTGTAGGTACAGTATTCTCTGTAAATTAGAGTTTTTGTAGTGGCACTTTACTGAAATAAAGGTTGCATTGCATCTCAAAGTTGCGTGGATATATGAAATACTCTTTTTGACGCCAAATTGTGCGTACGTTGGATGTATAAGTAGTAAACCCGAGATTGACCTCAAACGAACTATATCATAAAATTCTATCTTTGTTTAGAATCAAAGGTTTTATTGCACTTTTATTTTCTAATCATAGATTATATTAATTTAATATCATTTGAAGATCATTAATAAACTTTAAATTGTTTAGATCACACGCGTATGTTGTTGGGGTAAGTAAGATCCTTTTTTTACATACACAAAAATGGGCAACTCGGCGGTTCTTTTTTTTGGCTATGAAATTTGGTACTTCTTTAGTAGCAAGTTCGGGACAATTTTTTTGAGTACATCATTTACCAATTTTAGTGCACCTCAAATTTGAGCTTTAAACAGGAACTATAACCCAAAACCCTCTGGGATCAGCGCCAGAGGTCCTCACGTTCCTGTTTCGTCTCAGTTTAATCGTAAAAAGTCCACGCCAGTTTCTTCTCAGGTTCTTCTCAATGTCCTTTTAGGAGTCTTAAAGGATCTTGAAAAATCATTAAGAGCCTTCAACAAAAAATTAAACACTCATTTAAAATATTAATTTATTTTTGAACGTTTTTAAAGGGCGCCAACAATTTTTCTAGCTCTCCAAGTTTTAGAATCTTTAATTAACATGCACTTCGAAAATCGAGCCTAAAAGCGTCTTTAAGTCCTGAAGGGTCTCACTCAATGACTCGAAAAATGATTTAAGATTTTTACGAACGATTTACAAATAACACCCAAACTCTCCGAGCGCGTTCTCGGTGGTTTTAGACTTGCAGCTAAGCCATTAGCTGTTTTTGTGAGTTTTTAAGGGCCTTTGGGCGTCTTTTCAATTTTTGGAAATCGCTTCATGTTATAAAAACTCCTCATTCTTGCAATCCGCTTTACGAGGACAACTCTCACGACATTTTATAATGACACTCACTCCGAATAGGGAGAACGGTAGAAAATATTATAGATCTATATTCTATAGATTTATCCCATTTAGAATTTTTAAGCAGGTGGCTGTGGACAGCTTTTGGGACACTACATAAATTGGACCGCTTGTGGGACACCCTGTATAATAATATTCGTAGTAGCACGGTTATAGGAAGCCGTGGTGGTAGCATAGACATATGAGAATAAGGGTAGTAGGTACCAAATTTGAAAAATTATCATATAACTTTTGTATTTCCGTCAAAAAAGTGTGGAAGGGGGGTTTATTTTTTACCCCAATGACGTGCGGGTGGTAAAAAAAGGTTCATGACAAGTGAGCGCCCCCGTCGCCGCCACTGCGATCTGTCTGTCAAGGTCGTGGATATTGTGGAGTCTGCGTGTTTGATTATTGACTGTTTTCATAGTAATGCCCGTCTTATCATCTCAACCTATTCGTGCAAAGAGCTTGACGCGGGCTAATCTCGAGAAGCCCTCACCACTACTTCGCAGCAGAATGCCGAATATTAAGGTTTTTAGTGGAACGTCGCATCCCGATCTCGCGCAAAGGATCGTCGACCGCCTGGGAATCGACATTGGGAAGGTAGTAACAAAAAAGTTTAGTAACTTGGAAACATGGTTCGTCCCGCTTTATTTCTTTTTTTTTTGTTAACTAATTAACGTTCGTTTAATAGCGTGGAAATTGGGGAATCCGTGCGCGGGGAAGATGTTTACATCGTGCAGTCGGGAAGCGGCGAAATCAACGATAACCTGATGGAACTTCTTATTATGATCAACGCCTGTAAAATTGCATCCGCCAGTCGAGTTACTGCCGTTATCCCTTGCTTCCCTTACGCCAGACAGGACAAAAAAGACAAGGTAATTAATTAGGGATTAGTGTACCTTGCCTTCCTTTTGTTAATCTTGCATTTTTTGCACTTATCATTATCAGTTCTATTTAAACACGTGGTTTAGTTTTGTTTTGACTGTTAGCGCTGTTGTCACACTTTCTAGTAGACTTGTTTTAATTGTTTTTAGCACAATTTTCTGCTTTATTTTTTGTTTGATTATTTTTGTCCATAAATCCCTACACTTTGTTCATCTAACACTACAGTAACTGAATAGGTATATTAGTAAATTAATTGTTAACACATAAGCAATATAGATATGAGCCTATGATTCTAGGCTGGAAATGCGGATGACAAAGAGCGAAGCGTTGAAAAATGGAAATCTATCGAATGGAAATACAGGGTAAATTAATTCTATTAAGATTATTCAAACAATTTAGCTTCTATTCCTATTTAGCTGTTTATCGTTCTGACTCGGAGCATGTTTATGTAAACAGAAAATAGCGAAAAATGAAGAGTGCACGATTGATGTATAGTTTGACGTCAATCTCAATCCTCATTTTGATTTGATAAGCGTTCGTTATGACCTGTACTATTTAAATCATGTTTCGAGATTGTGTTAAAATTTACTTAACCCAAAGGTCATCTCATAGTTGATTATTGTTATACATCCTAACAGGAGCTTGATTAAAACTCCATACGTTATGCACTGTTAACATTACAAATTAAGGTGGCACACTGCGGGATTCGTGCAATTAAAGCTGCAAAGAATTAACAACCGCATGAAAGTGCTAACACATTGGGTACACTCATAAATCATGAATATAGTTAAAACTCCTTTCGGTTGGGGATGTTCTGCTATGGGTACGGACATTTAATAATTGTTGTGGTAGTAGTCACCTGTGGGTTTTTCTTTCTAGCAGGTTCGATGTCAAATGTAAAAAGTAGACAATGCAAATTATTTTAATTTGTTGAAAACTGACACCTGTCAAGTTAGAAAAACCACATCTGCCAAATACGGCCAATCTGACCAACACAGTTATATTTAACGCTTATTACTTTCTTGAAGGAACTATTAGAAACAAGGGAAATTGATTTTTTCGTTCAGAGAAGCCGATAGAACTACTACACAGCGCCCCCAATGAATGCTTGCTGTTCCACAAAAAAGGTCCAAGGCTTTCTCGGCTATTATAATAATGATTTAACTGTTAACAATCCCTATACAGGATGAGTTTTTTTTCGTTTTCACTATGGGGATCTCTTTAAAGTCTTGCAAAGTTATGCAGAATTTTATGATGATTAATTATTAAAATTGTTATTAAAAATTAATTATAAAAATTTTTATACTAAACACTTGTAGTTCATTTGGGAATTTTTGCCTTGAAGTTTACAATGTATTTCTCGAGGTATTTCTTATGTTAAATAATTCCGTTGTATAGACAGACTGATCGAAATCTCAATGATTTCGATCAGTCTGTCTATCTGTACTCTCATTTCCGGTCAAACGCCTGAACCGATTGGAACCAAATTTTGTACACATATTCTTAGACATAAAAGGGCAGAATCGTGCGAGTGGTATCTGTGCTAGCCATAGCAAATTTTATAAAACGCCCTCGATTTCTAATTAATAATATATGAGGGTATATATAGAGTGTTTCATTTAAAACAGGTAAATTTTCATATACTTCCGTCTTAACTGGAAGTACCACCAACTTCAAAATATTTTAAATGAATTTCTTAATGACACTAGTATACTGTCAAATTTTAAAAATATTCTGAGGTTGCCTTTTCAAAATATAGATAGACGGCATTGGTCATGGGACACCCTGTATAACGTTTCGGACAAAGAGCCGCGTTGCAATATTTAATTTATACAACATATTCAACACCACCTATCGAGAATCGAGCTTTGAGTTCTTGCGCTTCCGTGCCCTTAATATAAAAACTAGCATAACATTTTTGTGCTATAGCAAAAATGTAGCACCGATCTGAAAGCCATAAGAGCATAAAATTTGTATGATATCACACACAACAAAGGGCTTGTACCATACAATACAACAATACTTGTAAGCAGTTGTAATGTGGATCTACACATTAGTCTATTTGGACGTGGCTCTTTCTTTGTATTCCCCTTTACTCACTTTACAATGAAAGTTTATGTAGGAATTTCTAGGTATTGAATACAAAGTGTAATTAGAAACAAGCGCGGGGGGGGGGGCTGAATTTTCACTAATAAATCATTTTCTGGAAAAGTAACTGAAAATGCTTGAACACAAACCAGATTCAAATGTATGAGTTTCATGTTTTACATTTAGATTTGCTTCTAAAAAAAAACCAATCTGATTATTTTGCCTTTTTGTTATATACACGCCGCTTGGAGGGGGGAGTATAGCTCTAACAAGGTCCAAAAATGACCATACATATTTAAAAGGATTAAATGCTCTTATCATTTCAAAATAATCAAGAAGCATGGATATGGTTAATATTGCTTTTTATAACTGGAAGCAAGGGAATCATGTTCTTTTCCATTCCGACTTAACATGGCATATGCTAGTGCCAAACTCGATTTGTAGTTTCACCCCCATTTTCTGGTTTTAATCTAGAGACGACTTGTACATAACACCACCATCATTTCCTCTCGACTAATATTCATCTGCCTCCTAACATTCAATCTAACTCGGGATAATTTATTTACTCACTAACTGAGGGTGCATTTGCAACGGCTCTTTCTCATCCCTTATATTTCTAGTACTGGTCGGGGGTTATGTAGTGTAGTTGCAAATGGACCCGTCGTATAAAAAGTGCGTAATAACGATTTTTTGTTAACAGAGCCGAGCGCCGATATCAGCAAAATTAGTCGCGAATATGTTATCAGTCGCCGGAGCCGATCACATCATCACAATGGACTTGCATGCCTCTCAAATTCAGGGCTTTTTCGATATACCAGTCGACAATTTATACGCGGAGCCTGCGGTTTTAAAATGGATTAAGGAAAACATACCGGAATGGAGGAACAGTATAATTGTTTCGCCGGATGCGGGCGGCGCCAAGCGGGTGACCTCCATTGCGGATCGGTTAAATGTGGAATTCGCTCTTATTCACAAGGAGAGGAAGAAAGCTAATGAAGTTGCGTGCATGGTTTTAGTTGGTGACGTTAAAGATAGAGTTGCCATATTAGTTGACGATATGGCAGACACGTGCGGTACCATTTGTCACGCCGCCGAAAAATTAATGGAAGCGGGCGCGACGAAAGTTTACGCCATATTGACACACGGAATTTTTTCTGGGCCGGCTATTTCCAGAATTAACAACGCTTGTTTCGAAGCGGTTGTCGTTACGAATACAATTCCTCAAGATGAACACATGAAGGAGTGCCCAAAAATTCAGGTAGTCATAAGTTGTGTGGGCGGTAGTAACAATCTAATGTTTCTTTGTTGCAGTGCATTGACGTTTCGATGATGTTTGCTGAAGCTGTACGACGTACCCACAATGGTGAATCTGTGTCATATCTTTTCTCGAATGTTCCTTATTAAAGAAAAGCATTAGTGTTTAAAACAGGATGAACAAATCTGAAACTTTTTATATTCGTCGTTGAATAAATTAAAGGAATGCAGACTGTTTGTCCTTGTGTATGTTGCCTCTAAATTTTCAATTAAGAAAATTTATCATGTTACAATATGTCATACATATAAGTTTTATAGAAAGAACTTAATTGTTTTTATAAAAAACCTTATATCATCATTACCCCACTAGCACTTGGTACATAACACAAGGAATGTACACTGGACATAGGTGGACATACACTGTACTTTATATAGACATACATACATTTTAAGTCCATTTGTTACAACATTGTACTACCTAATATGTGTTCAGTATTTACTTCCATAGTATATTACTATGTATAGGTATATATTTTACAGGGTGTTTCTGAATATGTGCAAATACGAAAGGGCTTATTTTATGACTAAAAGTTCATATAGGTCCTCAAACACTTCGTTATGGATCTAAAGGATGTTATAATTTTACGTACAGTACAATTTCAAATGCGAATTGTCAAGACAAATAAAAACTAAAGATTATCTAAGTAACTCCGGGCCATTTTAAAAATTTTTATTTCACTGATTACTGAAAATTGATTTTAAATTTTTTTCTGAATAACGGTCGCAGATACGAAAAAATTACAAGAGACCAAAAAGTTTCTAAACAAACCGGAAAATCGAATTTCTATTTTACAATCTACCAGGGGCACACCGAAAAAAAGTTCAGGGGTTGCAAAATGGAACATGATCCCTGAAAAAAACAACATTGTACTGTACCTACACTCCCTTTGACGTGACCAATGAATAATGATGTAAGCCCTTCAGCGTAATTTGTATTCCAAACTTAGGCGAAGTATCTCAAAGACTTGAAACTTCAACCCCTGTAGATCGGGAACAAAGCATTGCCAGATGTATGTATGTATGAACTTTTAGTCATAAAATATGCCAAAGAATTAACCCCTTCTGTATTGACATCATATTTGGGAACACCCTGTATACATTGTATGGACCTAAGAAGTAAAAAAGTAACCCTCAGGCACAGACTATAGTTAATGGTGCCTCAGGGAAATTGTTTTGACACAGGAATACTTGTTCACTAGGATGTTTTTAGATGACAATTGACGATCAAGGTAACTCGATAGAAAGATTGGAATCCAGTCAGAGCTGTCACAAATCGTTTAAAAAACGATTTAAATCGAAGATCAGAGATGCATTTCATTTTAACAAACGATTTAAATCAAAGATACTTTTGTCAATAAGAAAGTATTTAAATAATAAATCATTTTGAGATTAAATATTTTTTGTGATTTAAATCTTTTTAGGAAGTATTTAGTATTTAATTCATTCAAAAAGATTTAAATCCAATGTTGTTAATTTAAATCACTTATAAAGATTTAAATCATGTTTCCAATGATTTAATCGTTTTGTGACAAAATGTTTGTAAAGGATTTAAATTCAATAAAACTGATTGGTCTGATGATCTTGCTCGAAACTCTCAACATCATTCATCAATATACCTACCATTTCTACCGTATCTTATTGTTATTATTTATTAAATTAAAATATGTATTTTTTTGCGAAAGAAATTTTAAAAAACCAAGACATCGTCGTTCTCTGTATACTAGAATTTGTAATAAATACATACCGGGTGGTGCCTAGCGCGACGCAGCATAGGGATTTCAATGGTAATTTCTTTATAGCCAATTACTAGCTCCCCTAATTATTTTAGAGCAAAAGTCTAAATACGGTTATAAACAAGTACCTATAAATTTAATATACGTCAAAGGCAAATAATGAAAAATTACGTTGTTTTTTTAGGCAATTTGAAGGCATATCTGATTTATTTTGTCGATTTCTACGGTTTTGAAAAACGGAAAATTATAACTAATAGTATGAACAGATGCAGTCTTTTTTTCTCAGAAAAAAATGTATTTAGAATTTTGCTCTAAAATAATTAGGGGAGCTAGTAATTGACTATAAAGAAATTACCATTGAAATAAATTCCTATGCTGCGTCGCGCTAGGCACCACTCTGTATAAATGTCTACCGAAATAAAACCCGGGTTAATTAGCTTAGTCAGGTTGAAACAAATCAAGAGAATTTGTTAGTATGTGTTTAAATCGTCTCTAAAAGATTTAAATCACTCGGAAACGATTTAAATCTTTTCGAAAGTATTTAAATCTTTTTAAAAGATTTAAATCATATTTTTAAGTTCAAAATCAAAGATAGTTTTCATGAAGATTTAAATCTTAGTAAAATGATTTAAATCGAAAAAAGTATTTAAATCATAAAAAAGATTTAAATCTTATTAAAAGTGACAGCTCTGAATACAGTGGAGTTGCTGTAATTCGAGTTGGATGGTGAAAAACTCCAATTATGCTGGTACATTAAAAGATAAATCGTTCGGGGTTAGGCGTTAGGAAAACTACAGTACATATGTATTGTTGTGACTATGGACACTATGGCTCACCAGTCTTACTTTCATCATCATTCAAATTCATCTTCAGGACCACTTTTTTCCAGATTTGCCCTTTAAAAAACTCTCCCTTAGAACAATTGACATCTACCTCCTGATTTTTGCCACTATTGAAAATTCGCCACTGCTGGATACTCACTGGTATGCTAGAATGTTAAGGGCAAATTGATCCTGAAGAACAATAAGGAGTTACGTTTGGAATGGGTGTATTCTGGGAAAAATAGATTTTTCCAATTGGTACAAATCAATTAATTAATTATTGAACGAGCGTCACAATGCAATAAAAAAGTAAAAAGTTTCTTTGCAACTTTGCAGTCTAGAGCTAGAGCACCGAATCAAACGCCCAATTCTTGTTGAAATAGTCCAACCTAGATTACCATAAGCTCTGCTGCTACAAGCTGTAATTTCAAAAGTCCAGACTGAACACGTTTGAACACCAGGATTCTTTCAAAGTATGTTTATACATCTAAATTATTACTGATGATTTATTATTAATGAAGCAAGTTGTATATTGAAATTTGAAACATTTAAGTTGTCCAGAGTATTCTGAACGCATTGGCAATTCCTATCAATAGAAAAGTAGTTCGGCCAGTCTACTCCGAATTTTGAAAACAAAGTCATTAGCGTCTCTTCCAACTTGGAAAATAGAGGAGGATGTTGTAGTAGGTACCATAACATTTTACTTGTTCCAGTCTTCGGCCAAGGAAACGTTCAACCCGTATAAAAACCACTGTGATGTTATATATTTGCTTCTTCCCCCACGAAAGAAGGAATCAATGTTGCTTTCCCTACGAATATCACAGGACCTTTCTATACTGGATGGTGAGGATTCAGTTACAGAGACCGCTAAGACGTATCAGATCAAATGGCTCATATCAAAAAGTACCTACCCATATCTACTGCTCATAGTTGTATCTTGAAAAACTTTCAGAAACAACATCCGAATATGATCTATACCTATTTTTTTCCAAAATCTGGCGCGCATTTCGCCATTTGCCGCGCATTTTTCAAACACCCGCATTTTCAGTGCTACCAACAGACACAACCGAAAAGCGCCTGTGAATTATGACGTCGAGTTCTCTTTGCAAATGGCTTTTTCCGGTGTAGCCAAGTTTTAGATCGCCGTAAAAAGTTGTTTAAAGTGTGAGTAATTTTATTATTCTATAATATTATAAACCATAAAAATCAAAAGGTTACACTAGTCGCAATTTTACTATTCGAAATTTTAAAATAGACTAATTAAATTCGCTTAAAATCTGTCTGGATTTCTGCACGTGTCTTGTTCCGTTTAACACATGTTTAATTGTGGTTATTTCGCCAAATTTATGTTTTAATCTAATATGATGATTTCTAATACGCATTCTGACACTTCTTGTCTGAGTTTATAGTGAGGCAAAATCGCTACTGAAATATTATTCCAATGCTTAACCTCAAAATTAGTTCTAACAGGTTTATTGGAAAGTGTTTTGTTTTGTAGGTCTAATCATGGGTGACTCTTTCGGCAGTTTTGACGATGTGAGAGCAGTATCCAAAAATGTAGGCCATACGATCGCCGATCTTCCAGAGATCAAACTTTTCGGAAGATGGAGTTGTGATGACGTACTGGTTTCAGATATGTCACTAGAAGTAACTAGTCACGGTTCATAGTTGAACAATTCTTATTTTTGTACGTCGTAGGATTATATTGCAGTAAAAGAAAAGTACGCAAAGTATTTACCACATTCATCCGGACGGTATGCTGCGAAACGGTTTCGTAAGGCACAGTGCCCGATTGTTGAGCGACTTACCAACTCACTTATGATGCACGGACGAAACAATGGCAAAAAACTAATGGCGGTGCGGATTGTCCGGCATGCGTTTGAAATTATTCATCTTCTAACTGGAGAAAATCCTCTACAGGTACACGATTTTAAATTGCTTGCATTCTTGTTAAGCTTTCATGATGATAACCAACGATTTCTGACACCTCTTCAGAAACACTTTGTTGATTTTACCATTCTGACGACTTCTCCTTAATAACTTTTTGCAAATTTGGAAACGCTTTAGTAAACAAGCAATTTATTTCAAGGTATTGGTTACTGCAATAATCAACTCGGGCCCACGTGAAGATTCCACACGTATCGGAAGAGCCGGTACGGTCAGAAGACAGGCTGTTGACGTTTCTCCTCTTAGAAGAGTAAACCAAGCAATTTGGTTATTGTGTACAGGAGCCCGAGAGGCTGCGTTCCGTAACATCAAAACTATCGCCGAGTGCTTAGCTGATGAACTCATAAACGCTGCCAAGGTACCTATACGATTGTCGCATGCTGCAAGCATATAATTGAACTTAACTTTCAGGGTTCTTCGAATTCGTACGCGATTAAGAAAAAAGATGAATTAGAACGTGTTGCTAAATCTAACCGTTAATTTAAGTTTTTCATCATTTCTATCTGCCACATTTTATATGTTGTAGAATAAATAATATAACATTAATAATTGTTTGATTTGCTTATTTTCGTGTAAATGTCCTACATAATGCAATGGAAGTAGTACTCACCTTCTGTTGTTTCGCTTTGGGACTATAGAAATATTGCAAATGATTTTGTTATTGCAGAGCCTTCTTTGTAAACAAATCAAGTTTGCTAACAGTTAATGTGATTTTTTCCTTAGTAAAATAGGTGGCGCAGAGGGAGTGCAAAATGAAAATATTTTCAACAATAAGGAGAATTCATGAATAACGTGTTTGTATTAGGTACTTGTCGATCTCCAAATATGTTATTTGTTAATAAATGTTTTGTGATATAGAGGGAATTTTTCTAAAAGTGCGTACCTACATATGGGCTATGTATGCTTAAAAAAAACTAATCATATGCATGGAATCATGATAGTCCATAATGGTGGGTGGGTCATATCTAGGTTATCTCTTTAATTTAATGCTTGCAAGTTGGAAGTGGCAGAAAGTTGATGGTATTAAGATATTGCGGATGGCGTTAGTCACATGTCACTCATGAACTTGACCCAAAAATCATTTAAATTGACACTTTAATGTTGCAGCTCCCAATTAAACGTCGGAATAATTGTAGAAAGATACAGATAGTAAACCAAAATCATCAAGTGCACTAAGCTCAGGATGGTTTCGTTCGTTAGCAACACGCATTAAACTTTTGTTGCTATTGACTGGCTATTTTGTTAATGATTTCTGGTAGTGAACTAATGATGATTGTATAAACCTTAAATCCACCATTAGTACTTGGTTGCAGTTGGGAAAAAATTGTTTTAAAGCTTGTTTTTCAGCTCTAGTTGCCTGGTTTATTCATACATCTTAAGCTCTGGGCTCTGGCACTTATACTAAACATTGGTACATATTATAAAAATCTATACGGAAAGATGTGATTACTACATTATGATTATCAAATCAAATGGGGGCATTCTTCCAAAACTAATGTGCCTTTATTTGGATGCTAATCTTTACAGATCATGTGTAAATTATATTTCTTATACTGTAAAAATTTAGGTGTAACACTTAGCAAGGCATAATTCTTAATCACTTCGATTATCACAGATAATTCACCATTTTTTAAATCAACCTTGTGCTCCTTATTTTGTTCAGTTACCATATCTGCAACTGCCGTGATAACGTCATCCCTTGACAATTGATTATTGTGCCTATGATTATAAAACACTGAAAACGTTTTCGGTTCATTACCGCCGAAATATTTCTGTACTAAAGGCGCTATGGCCTTTTTTATATCATCGAGATACGCTTTGCACGTCTCTTCGATTGGTACTAACCGAATAAGAAAGCGTGTCTTCTGCTGCCTAGTCTTATGGATGTCTTCAATAATTGTCTGGGCTAGTTTTACGGGATCTTCTAAAGTTGTACGTATGAATACGATATTCTTTGCACCTGATTCAACCGCTTGAAACCGATGGTTCGATTTCTCCTTCAATGTCTTCAGTGCCTGAATTTCCCGTTCTAGTTCGTCTACGTCTTCTTTATCATTCACTTCGGAACTCCCTTGGCCTTCGGGTTCTAGCGAGGGGGCATACTCGTTTAAAATATTGTACGATTCTCTTACGCAGTCTTTTTCTCTGTCGTTACAACTACAAAGAAAGCCCTTTAAACCCACCTCTAACGCGAATCTCTTTCGTTTTTTGCCATTATCAGAATATTGATATTTTCTTTTCTTCGTTTCGGCCATTTTCAGGTATATTAATTAAACAAACCGGTGCCGATACTTTAGCCACTACTGATAAAGTCCCTAGATCTGGGGACTTTAACTATCAAGCGGGCGCGCGATATCCAACGAAAAAATTTGAATTTGAAAATCCACAACCAAAGCTTTACAAAATGTTTGAATGAAAGTGATACACTTCCTTTTTTTGAGGCCCGCAAAAAAATTGTCTCAGATCGACCCGGCAAAAAATTTTTTTTATAGAATGTGGCCTGTAGAGTCCATAATTTCAAACAGTTCTAAGATTGGGCTACTAGTTCAAAAGTTACAGCCGTTTTAATTTTCTTTCGAAATTGGTTTCTAGTCTATAACTTTTCATTGATCGAAAAAGTACGAATTGTTTTGGATTCTACGCACCAAAATTAATAGGAAAAAGTGTTTCCCCGAGAAATGTTGGTGAAGTCGATTTTTGGTAAAAAAGGAAGGTTATACACTGCCTTTTTTTAAGGCCGCAAAAAAAAATTGTGTCAGATCGACCCGGAGAAAAAATTTTCTTATAGAATGTGGCCTGTAGAATCCATAATTTCAAACAGTTCTAAGATTGGGCTACTAGTTCAAAAGTTACATTTTTTTGATTGAGAAGTCTGATCGAAGAAGTACGAATTGTTTTGGATTCTACGCACCAAAATTAATAAGAGAAAGTGTTTTCCCGAGAAATTTTGGTGTAGTCGATTTTTGGTAAAAAAAGGAAGGTTATGTACACTGCCTTTTTTTGAGGCCCGCAAAAAAATTGTCTCAGATCGACCCGGAAAAAAATTTTTCTTATAGAATGTGGCCTGTAGAATCCATAATTTCAAACAGTTCCAAGATTGGGCTACTAGTTCAAAAGTTACAGCCCTTTGAATTTTCTTTCGAAATTGGTTTTTAGTCTATAACTTTTGATTGAGAAGTCTGATCGAAAAAGTACGAATTGTTTTGGATTCTACGCACCAAAATTAATAAGAAAAAGTGTTTTCCCGAGAAATTTTGGTGCAGTCGATTTTTGGTAAAAAAAAAGGAAGGTTATACCCTGCCTTTTTTTGAGGCCCGCAAAAAAATTGTCTCAGATCGACCCGGCAAAAAAATTTTCTTATAGAATGTGGCCTGTAGAATCCATAATTTCAAACAGTTCTAAGATTGGGCTACTAGGGTAGGGATTAAAAGATGTTACATGCTTTTTTTGAGACCATGTTAACCAAAAGTTTCTAAAATAATGCATCAAGACGTATTTTCATGAATTTTTCACGACCCCTTATATTTTTAACAAAAGATGTCAAAACCAAGATCCATTTTTGCTGACTAAAATGTAATGACGTAGGTATTACCATTGAAGTATTAAAATAAACGCCCAGGAAAATTTGCTACGATAATAGGTACCTACTGATAATGCTCCGGTATTTAACATTTCTGTTTTATTATATGTATATACATGCAGAATAAAAGAATTGCAAATCTATCAAAACAATGCGGTACCATAACTTCCTAAAAATGCGTTGCACTGCGGGCAGTAATGGCTTCGATCTTTACACGAATCCACACAGTATGGTATTAGGCAGCAGGGAATGCATCTGAATTAGAACAAATTACAGCCAAGTACATAGACATTTAGAAGTACGTACCCTAGGATACATAACAGAGCGGCAAAAAGATGAGTTTTCGTACCAGCACTTGCTTCCAATTTTGATGTAACTTGATTATGACAATGCGGGCAATTTATCAGTTGTGGAATTGGACCAAAGACTGTGACAACTGCGAAGATAAGATCATTTTTTAAGTACATACCTAGATCTTCCGTCTAACCAATTTATTATAACCTACCTTGAGGTTGTGGGTACCTCGAGTATTGCGCTTGCGGGACACTTGGCGTAGGCTGTGGTATGAATCCTGGTTGTTGAAACCCCACTTGCGGAGGTGGTGGAAACCCCATTTGTGGAGGAGGTAAAGTTGGATATCCAGCATTGCGCGATTGTGGGGGATATGCTTGCGAGTAATTATTTAACGGAGGCGAATGTGTACTTTCTTCATAGGGGGGAGGTGGTGGGATTTTCTCCATTTTTTTGATTCTGTAATATCAGGTTGTATTTTTAATACCGACTATCACTTTGGCATAGCATTAAATACTTTGATGCAATTATAGTAATAACCTCTCTCATAACGAATTGTTCGGTGAGTGGGTATGCTCAAATTGTCACCATTCCTTGTACTCATTGTGCTGTAAATATGGCTATTTTTGTTGAAATCATTTATGTTTCGCCACGTATGACTGAATGGTTTGGAATAAGAAGAGGGGTTAGGCAGTGATGTTGTCTATCACCAACCTACTACTATTAAAAACCTTAAAACTGCCGTTCGAAAGAAAAAGCCTTGGAATCTAATTGCAGGGTGCATAAGGCCAAGGCTAGTTCGACAAGGGTCAATATGCTTTTTCACCGATGCTATTGATACACCACTTGAAATAGCTATAGGTGCCGACTGTTAAATAAATAAACTACGGTATATTTTAGTTTCAATGGGAAGAATCGACATAATTAAATTAAATACTTACTGCTTGAACTGTTCGAAAATTAGAAAAGAAACAATTTGTCAAATTTAATTTCCTAGTTACCTTGTTTTTCCACACAAAAAATAGAGGAAGCTTTACATTTCCCTCGTAAAACTATATTTGCCCTATTTTGATTAATTTGTTTTGGATTAAATGACCATGACTCCCTTGGTAGCCTTGAATTACAATTCAAGCAGAACGTGAGCCATATAAATAGTTACTGGCATACTTACTATCGCAAGCATCTCATCTCACCTAGATATATTAGGGATCCACAAAGTAAACATTAATTACAAACTAACTGAGTTAAATTTCATACAAATTAAGTTTCAACTAACCTTAACAAAATTTTGAACTATCTGCCAGAACTAAATACGAACTCTGAATATAAAAATACACTGGCTTCCCAACGACATAATTCTCTTACTTTATAAAATTATAACACATATAAATGTTAACTACTCGTGATAGAATGTTTCCCCACCATGCCCATTTTCCTATGCAAAATAATTACCCTAGTCCTTAAAATGTAGGGTGTTTGTCCATCCGTTCGTCCGATTATCATCATTTGATGGGGTGCTAAGGCATCAGGGATGGGATTTTTTAAAAGACGCCACGTGTCATACGCAAAAATAGGTTTTGTGGAGTGGCTGAAACGTAGTTTTTCACACTTTAACGTGCTCCAACCCATCAGTCTTTAAAATAACCACGAGTTTTACATAGGCAATATTTAAATTCCTCA